ACAAATTACAAGAAGCAAAATATATAAATTTATAATTATACATTTGTCCAATATTGACCGCATTGATAGCTTTATTCATAAGAGTAGCTGTTGTAGTTTGTAAATCTGTTTATCTTAAAAGCTAAATGGCAAAGAAAAAAAAATGTAATCTCATTTTCGATGAATCTTGTAAAATATAATAAGGATTCATTAAGGAATCCCCATGAATAGAGTGAGCAATCTGCCGTTCCTATCATCAGACCTAGAGATATATACATTTAAAACCATAACGCTAAAGTTTTGCACGTACGATTAAACCTGCCCAAACCACCCAAAATGTATTATTTTTAATTTTCTTTGAATGCAGACAAAATTTCCTGCCCGATTAAAGTCAGAACCTCGATGCTCCTTTTTTTAACGATATGTCGATTTATCAGATTTCTTAAATATTTATATATTTTATGTTATACCCTTGCGCGAAGTTATTATATTTCATGACATTGCTTTAATAGAAATCGTAATATTGACTGGAAAAAACCCAACATTTCATTCATTTCTGTTTGTATTATTTAATCACTATATATATATATATGTGAAACTAGTATTCCTCTCTAGAAGATTTTTACATAATTTAGATAAATCTTAATTCCATGAAATGGTTAATGGGTAACTGATTTTTTTTTTCTTTTCTTTTTTCATTGGTTCTTTTTGCTCAAACCAAGTCTGCTGAAAAAAAAATAAGGAAACTGAACATAGTTACTGACGGAAAATCAGAAGTACAATTTCCGAAGCTGTCCGAAGGCTAGAAATCGGAATCAATTATGCAGACAACCTACTTCTGATGGTTGGGTGTGATTTGCCTTATCTTTGGTGGCTTCGCCGTCTGGCACCGCGCTGGTATCGTGGTATTAAATAGTGTATGGAAGTAACACTTTCTCGCCATACCTGTTTACAGGCTGCTAGGTAGAGCAGTATTTTCTTCACAGTCTCCGCGAGTATTGGGGTAAAAAGTCGATTTCAAAATTGTACTAATGGACCTTGATCCAATCATTAACTGACTTTCTGTGGCTTATCAATGCCAGTTAAAAGTCCCTTCAGGTGTGTACTTTCAGTTGAAGGATGTACTCTTGTAATAATCATCAACATTCCCCTGGTTTAGCCAGTAATTCATCTGCAGAGATTCAAATTAATTTGAAAGTGAACATAAATGCATTAAGGCAATACTTACTTTCGATTTAAGTGCAAAAAAGTTACATTTCCTAATACACAGCAGCGAAAAACAATAGAGGCGACAAGGTTAGTTAGAATAACTATCGGAATTCCTCGTCCTTTGGGAACTTTAGATCAGTGAAGAGATGTTATCGGTCAAACAGCTTCTGTTAATTTACTTATCTAGCACTGCGAGTGGTGGCTGAAAATTCTAAACATTCAAAGCTTTTTAATTTCAGAATCAAGAAAATTGAGATCGTGTAGATTTTAATAAGAACATGATGCCATGAGACAATAAATACCCACACTTTCGTGTGTGCCTTTTTAATGCAGTCACCTTAAAATTTTGGTAACAAATGAAGAAGCCATATCAATTCTATAATATACCAAAAAAAAAAGACGATTTGTAAGCCCTAATCACTCCCATCCATGGTTCCAGTAAATGTTCAACCAAGCCTCTTTCTTTACTACTCACTAATATATTGAAAGTAGTGAAGGAAAAACTTCAAGAGTACTGTGCAACAATATATTCAAAAAGTGGTGTGAATCCTATGTGGATACTCAAAAATTACAAAGAACTTTTGGACAATTTGAAATCACAAGATTTTACCCAAATCAATGGCTTAAAAATTTACGACTTTTCAAATTTATACACAACCATTCCCCACGATAAATCAAACTCCAGGATTTTCGATATCATTGACAGCTGCTTTTTCAATAAAAATGGAACTCGTAAATTTACATACTTGGTCATTGATCATTTGCAAAATTATGTTGTTAAAACACATTCTGATTGCACACACAAGTACTCTGAAGATGACATCAAAAAGATGCTCGAGTTTCTGATTGACAATATCTATGTCGTTTTTTGAGACCAGTTCTTCCTACAACCTATTGGAATTCCCATGGGTACCAAATGCCTTCTATTATGAGCAGACCTATTTTTGTATTCATAGGAAGCAGAATTTGTGCAACATCTTTTGCGTGAAAAGAAAAAAACACTTGCTGTGACTTTCAACTCAACATTTTGATATATCGACGACGTATTGTCAATTAATAATGGTAATTTCCATTCCTATGTCAATACGATATATCTTGGTGAGTTTGAGATAAAAGATACCACAGAGTCTGACGTACACATCTCTTTCATCACCTGCATACGGCGTTTATATATCTCAGTTTATTTGATACGCAAGAGCATGCTCTACGTATGAACAATTTCTAAAACGAGGTAAATTATTGACAAACAAGTTGATGAAACAAGAATATCAGCTGTCTCGTTTAAAGTCATCATTTCATAAAGTCTTTGGTCGATATAATGACCTTGTCAGCAAATACAATTTATCATTGAGTCAAATGCTGACTGACACTTTTCATACTGATTGTTAGTCCATTATTTATACACTGAATTCACGACGGATTTTTCCGTTATCTCCCGATCATGACAATTAAGGAGCACACGGCGGATTTGACCGGTCAGCAAAGGATGCTCACTCCTCCATGGCACCTGGTCCCACCTCTGATGTTTTAGAGGTCCATGTTTGCTCTGCTCCTATTTTGTATTGTTTTATGAACTTTGATATTGAATACTGTTCGTTATCTCCATATCCTTCATAGACACCAAAATGCACATCTGTAGGACATACCCAGTCTTATTCCAAAATATTATTGAATTATTGCGAAAAAATGTAAGAGGATTAAAAAAGATTTTTAACAATATGGCCCAACTTTTTGTTAACCTTTACGGGACTCTACCACTTTCCCAAAGTAAGTTGCTAATGCAAAGAGTATAAGAGAATTTCGGGGAACAAGGTTTTTGATATATAAAAAAACAGCGTTTTCTAACCCCATATCATCCCATTGGGAGAAAATCGAATTTTAAAAATCTTACTGTACATCTTTAAGAAACTCCTAATCATATTCCAAAATATACAGTGAAACATATGCTATTTAATAATACAAACCTCTGTTTTTGTCCGTCGCTGTGCGTAGTGCGTTGTGCATTAATAAATGAACATTTTCAGCTTCTTTGAAACCGCTCACCAATTTTAACCAATTTTGGCATATAGCATCTATGGGTGAAGGGGAACAAAAATTGTGAACTTTTTGGTCCCTGGTCCCCTGGGGCCCGAGGAGCTGGACCAAAAACAGTAAAATAAATGCAATCTTTAAAAATATTCTTTATACCTGGACATCAAACAGTCAAACTTTTGTTGGCATGATTGTAATAAGCATTGAGTCCTCTACCAAAATTGTGAAATCCATGGCCCAAGCTAGGGTTAGGGCGGTACTCTATTGATTAAAAGTGAAAATGCATTAATTCTTTGATAATCTGCTTCTCTGTTCCTGGGTATTTAAAACAAACTAACTACATACATAGTTGTGATGAGCAAGGATGCCTCTTCCAAAAATGGAAAATTCAATTTTTTTGTACTTAATACCAAAAAAAAAAAAAAAACCCTCTGCTATTTTGGGTTAAAATTAATATATACCAGTAAATACACAAAACAACCATATGAAAAAGCCCCATTTTGCACACGAAAAACTATATTCCTATGCTGACCTTAAGCAGATACGAAATAAATTCAGACCATAGTGAATAGGTTCATTGCATGTGTTTGGTATACATGCACTTAAAATGCAATTTGAATATTTTATGGAAAGTATTTTTTAAACTAATATAAACTTTTTTTCAGCTAAAACTTAAACAGAAATAACACCATTAACTTCAATTTTATATACGATTTATATCATTGATGGTTTACACTGTATACGTAAAATAAAAATACTAACATTTTTTTATTATAGTAAATATTTAAATTGTATTTTTGTTAATTCAGAAGTTCTAATATAAGTGTGCTAAAACAGATTTAAGAAATATATAATAGAAGGTGCCATGCAGAAACTAACGGAAAAACTTCCTTAATTAATATAAAAAGATTTCTTAAGACTCCAATTTTTTTGGCCGTAAATTGGCCACCTGTCTCAAATTCATATCTCTTACAAACCTGAATATTGTGTTTAAATTGAGATGAAATTATATTTGATTTTTCCCCCAATATTGTGCGGTGCCTAACCAAATGTTCACTTGTCATAATTTTTGCTCATTAGTGCCAGGAAGAGATGATAAAGATATCTGTTCTCATGGTTCAATGTCATGGATTCTGATTTCTTTCTTTCAGTAATATCTTTTCGATAGCTGCATTAAAACAACGAATTATAAAAACCTGGCGGGTGGTCGTCGTTGTTAAAGTAAATAGCCATATTATATACCCCTATTACCCGCGAAGTTTTATTTTCCGGAAACCATAAAACTGTAGGACACCACACGTGGTGACAGAGAATTTGACAAGACAGGAAATTCAAAAACAAAAAACAAAAAACAACGAACTGTTAATTTACGACATAACCGTACACTTTTTATTTTTCTTAATGCAAATATACGGTACTCACACAACGCTTTATGTGACACTTTATAGTACATGTATATACCCCATATTTTTGTTAATGTTTTTATTTCATTTTAACCTTCCGGCTCTTTCCTGTTTATCGAGGACGCATATTAAAGCAATTTAATTATATAATATTTTTGTTTTTTGCGCCCTAGACGTGACTGGGATGTACATGCTACAAAGTACAAGTTGCTTCAACTATTGAAGTTGACACCATTTCAATATCAATAAAATTATATAAAAAAAATCTTGTGTATAAATTGTTTCAGATTTAATCTGTATATCACATATATTATTATAATTTTTACTTCCTTCACAAATTAATCGTTTGTTCTAGAGTGGAAAAAAGAACGTTAATTACTGTTGTGCAGACGTGTATGAATAGGTTAACGCACGACTGCTGAGAATCGACTACACCGAAATAATGGAAGTAAGTGTTGTCATTTTAATTTTTAAAGATTATTTTGTATTTTAGTGGAGATTTACTTGAAATGAGTTTTTAACTTTATAGTAAACGACATACTTTAGCTTTATATTTAACAGAGAAGCTAAAAAGGATGTTTAATTCGTGTAATCGTTCTAACGTATAAATAAAAATCGAGAAAATTCAAGTTGAATGATGCATCATGTGATCGACAGTTTAAGCATCATGGACACTGCACAGTTGAATATAATTCTTTTTGTGCTTTGAATATAAAAAGAATATGGGAAATCTGTTTTTGAAAAAAAAATCAGCTTTAGCCGCAAGTTTAGGTTAAATCTGATTAGTGCATACAAGTTATCATGTTTATTCTGGCATTGTCCCCTCAACTTCCAAAATGGGAGGAACCCAATTATCTTTTTATTCTTAGTATGTCCACTCTTTATTTCAATTTTTTGTAGACAATCCTGTACCTTTCTCTTCGTTTTTCACGTGATCTTACTTCATACATGAAATAATCCTACGCAATTGTTTTTGCTTATGACTATTTATTTGTGCAAATAGGAATTAGACACAATTTTTCATGATATTCCATGTTTTCCATCACATAAAAACCTTGTAAAGTCATATTATTGGCACGTAATTTTGGGTCTAGAAAAAGTGTTTTAATCTTAATGATCCATGATAGTGTTTTTGAATTATTGTGCTAATAAACATGATAAAATTCTTATTTGTCATATCTGAATACACCAGTTAAAGAAATGAAGAAAAGAGGGTTACATTCTTGCAGCTACATTGTAAGCTGTTAGGATTTTTCACTCACCAAACCAGCTGTTTTCACTTCAGTATTTTATAATAGGTTGTCTATCATGTCTATAGGTATGAATCGAGGAGAAAACAACCAGGTGACAATTGAATAGACATAAACTTTTAAACAATGACAGCTTTTTTGGGAGGGGGGATTGATGAATCAATCGTTGAACCTTGACAAACTTTCATAGTTTCCAAAGAGGCTAAGGGTAGCGAAAAGATGAATGCAATCACTTTAAATATATGTTTTACTTGATCCTTGATATTACTTGAAAACAAACTTGTTTCTTTAATTTAGTCAGTTGTTGACTCGAAAAATACATATATGTACTTGTACACTGAGAAGAGTGTTAAAAAGGAGAGTATGCTTAAAGCACTTATTTACGCATTGAAAATGTACTAATGTGCATAAATGTCTTTTTAGGTCACCTGAGTCACTCAGGTGACCTATTGCTATCCGTTTTCGTCCGTCGTGTGTCGTGTATCGTGTGTCGTATGTCGTGTGTTAACATTTGAACATTTTCAGCTTCTTCTCTGAAACCACTTAACCAATTTCAACCAAATTTGGTATATAGCATCTATGGGTGAAGGGGAACAAAAATTGTGATTTTCATGGTCCCCGCCTCCCTGGGGCCTGAGGGGTGGGGCCAAAACCACTAAAATTAGTGCAATCTTTAAAAATCTTCTTCTTTACTCCTGGACATCAAGCAGGCTAACTGTTGACATGAATGTAACAAGCATTGAGTCCTCTACCAAAATTGTGAAATTCATGGCCCCAGGGTCAGGGGTTCTAGTGCTAGGGCGGGGCTAAATAGGTTATATAGTGAAAATGCATTATTTCCTCAAAAATCTTCTTCTCTGCTCCTGGGTATTAAATAAATGAACTAAGTACATAGTTATGATGAGAAAGAATGCCTCTTCCAAAATTGTGAATTTCTTGGCCCCAGGGTCAGGGGTTCTGGTGTTAGGGCGGGGCTCCATTGATTATATAGTGAAAATGCATTGAATCTCTGAAAATCTTCTTCTCTGCTCTGGGGTATTAAATAAACTAACTAAGTACATAGTTATGATAAGCAAGAGTGCCTCTTTCAAATTTGTGAATTTCATGGCCCCAGGGTCAGGGGTTCTGGTGTTAGGGCGGGGCTCTATTGATTATATAGTGAAAATGCATTGAAAATCTGAAAATCTTCTTCTCTGCTCTGGGGTATTAAATAGACTAACTATGTACATAGTTATGATGAGCAAGAGTGCCTCTTTCAAATTTGTGAATTTCATGGCCCCAGGGTCAGGGGTTCTGGTGTTAGGGCGGGGCTCTATTGATTATATAGTGAAAATGCATTGAATCTCTGAAAATCTTCTTCTCTGCTCTGGGGTATTAAATAAACTAACTAAGTACATAGTTATGATGAGCAAGAGTGCCTCTTTCAGATTTGTGAATTTCATGGCCCCAGGGTCAGGGGTTCTGGTGTTAGGGCGGGGCTCTATTGATTATATAGTGAAAATGCATTGAAAATCTGAAAATCTTCTTCTCTGCTCTTGGGTATTAAATAAACTAACTAAGTACATAGTTATGATGAGCAAGAGTGCCTCTTTCAAATTTGTGAATTTTATGGCCCCAGGGTCAGGGGTTCTGATGTTAGGGTGGGGCTCTACTGATTATATAGTGAAAATGCATTGAATCTCTGAAAATCTTCTTCTCTGATCTGGGGTATTAAATAAACTAACTAAGTACATAGTTATGATGAACAAGAGTGCCTCTTGCAAATTTGTGAATTTCATGGCCCCAGGTTCAGGGGTCCTGGTGTTAGGGCGGAGCTCTATTGATCATATAGTGAAAGTGCATTAAATCTCTGAAAATCTTCTTCTCTGCTCCTGGATATTAAATAAACTAACTATGTACATAGTTATGATGAGCAAGAGGTGCCTCTTTCAAATTTGTGAATTTCTTGGCCCCAGGGTCAGGGATTCTAGTGCTAGGGCGGGGCTATATAGATTATTCAGTGAAAATGCATTATTTTTAAAAAAAATTTCTCCTCTGATCCTGAGTATTAAATAAACAAACTAAGTACATAGTTATAATGAGCAAGAGTGCCTCTTCCAAATATGTTAATTTCATGGCCCCTATGTCAGGGGTTTAGCTATTTGGTGTAAGGAGAGGGAGGCTCTACATTACATAAATTCTTTGAAAATCTTTTCCATTGCTCCTGGGTATTATGCCAATAATCTAAGTATATATATATATATTTATGATGAGGAAAGGTGCATCTAGCAAAATGGTTAATTTCATGCCCCCTGGGTCAGGGGTATCGGTGTGTGTGTGTGGGGGGGGGGGGGGGGTTACATAGTCTGAAAATAAATGAATGCTTTGAAATTTACTCATTAGTATTAATCAACCATATTTGATGTAATAACATTTATGATGATAAAATTTTGAAATATGTGGCCCCAGGGTCTGTGGTTTCTGTTGGATGGGGTGCACAATTGCATGGTTTAGAATGGAAGTGCATTTTTCTCTTAGTTACTCTGATCTACTTATGGGTGTTAAGTGACTATCTAGTAAGCATTGCTAAGTGTATAATTATGATAAGCAGTAGTGCCTCTTTGCAAAATTGTGAATTTCATGGCCTCTGGTTTAAAACACAAACCAAATTCAGTTGTTGGAAAGTTGTTACATGAAACTCAGGTGACCTATAAGGCCCATGGGCCTCTTGTTTGGCTGAACAATAGTATTACACTCTGCTGCATAATTTTCAAGTGCAATTTGTAGTGGTTCTCTATAAATACCTTGAAAAACCTGTGAAAATTGATTTGATTTCAGGCTTTGAGGTGAAGTATATGACTAAGTTCAGTAAGCTGGTCATATGCTAGCATGGGAAACACCTATATCTAAATACAGTATCGCAGTCTTTAAATACTCTTGGTTTTCTAGCAGACAAATTGTAAATTTTATATCCTTTATATCAGTGGCCAACGTCATCACTTGGAATGATTATGAATAGAAAATGCATAAGCCTAAAAAAGAAAGCTTTCAGATTTTGAGTATTAAAGATATGTATGCCGTGTTAAACAGTATTTTTGCACAGCTGAAACCGAACAAAAATTTCGGAAGTATGATAAGCGATCAAAAAAATGAAGCATTCTTGCAAATTCAATGAAATATTATTTGGTATTAACAAAGTACTGGTCGGGAAAAGAACACAATATTCTCATGCATATTTATAAAGGACTGACGCTTATCCTGGATCTGCGCATGTGCGCGGGAAAAGCATCGCGAGAATCAAAATATTCTTTTGTGATGTCTGTTCAGCGAGGAACCAATTTGACTGACAAATCGACCAATCAGCTCAATGAGTTGCATTTAATGCATTTATGGGTCACTACATAAAATACTACTTGTGGTTTTCGAAAAGGCTAGTTTTTTAAATTGCTCTCGGAAAGACTTGATGCATTTTCCGAAGCATTTACAGGCTTAATGCATTATATTATGTACATTATTATCTACTAATCCCATGCTCATATTTGCATACAAATGATAAACAATGATAAAAATTAAAGTTTTCCCACTCCATTGTACAGGTCCGTTTGTTTAGAGTTTCCCCGTGCTGTACTGCTAGTGAAAAGACAATTGCACGTGATTATTCCTCGGTACAAAAAACAACCAACTCTGAGGTGTGCTCACGTATTCACAATCCCTAACTCACGTGTTTGTAGTAAAAACATCGTAGACCATTATGCTTTTCGGTTCATTCACGAGATTGGACCATTGTTTGCTGTGAGCATGCGAGACCACGTGATCATGAATATTTCAATAAGAGGCGGTTTATTATCCGACTCGGAGAGAAAATAATTTTTACCAAATAATATTTCATAACTTTTAAAAGTGATGGAGTGGAATTGTCTTATTTGCAGAAAGTATATAACTTATATAACTTGATGAGACACCACATATATTTATTTCTTTCAAAATAATATACTAATACGGCATATATATCTTTAAAGATTGTATGGCTATGCATACATATATATTTCATTTGTCTATATACATATATTTGATGCATTTGAAAGGGAAAGGTTTAGATAAAATTCATCTTGTTCATCTGAGTTGTAATCTAGTGAAGATAAACATGTGAATTTAATACATAACAGAAAGGATGCTTATTATTCAAAGGTCAGTCACTGCAATGACCTTAAATCATTTGGACAAGGTCAAGGTTATCAAAGGATTACAATCTTCTTATGGCCATATTTGATTACTTTGAAACAGTGCAAGATAATATACACTCACTTGTAATTAAGAAGAAAATGTGCAATTAATGCATATAATGGAGTTATAAATCTGTTAAGCCTTGAATAGGTACCAAAAAAAATATACTTCTTTCATATTTTAATGTAAACTTTGGCTATTTCTAAATCGAGTGTTATGACTATTTAGTAACAAAGATCTGTTTTAGAAATTCCCTAGATGATGAGAAAAATGTTTGTATTAATATTACTATAACCATCTTCTAGGAAGATTCTTTTTATTGTATGGTTTATACACAGAGGCCTGATTTAGAGATAAGGGGGGAACCCTATACTCATTTAGTGCACATTCAATGCCTGAAGTTTATCTCTTTTGCAAATATTTGGCATAATGTCCATGGTGTCAACACTAGATCTGTGAAAAGCTTCTAGCTTTTCTTTCTCTATCAGCTCATCTTCAAATTCTGTCTGACTCTCCCACAATACTGACAGATTTTTTTTTCTAATTTGCAGGAAGCGAAAAATTATCTCTCAAAATTGAGCAGCACGTAAGTTTATTTTTTCCTGTCTTGATTCTGATTAGATTGAAGGTTGTCTCCAGTTTTTACCTTCCGACTTTTACCATTATTTCATTAAAGAAGAGATCTATGGGGAGATTCATGTAATGTAGAAATTTGAAAATTCTTTATCTCACATATTTTATGTTGTATTTCTCAGCTTTATCATAAGGTGGTTGTAAACATTTTTTAGAGCTTATAGCTTAATTTTATCTGGGTGTTTCATGAAATGTGCCAATGTCTTTATTAAAAGTGTATTGAGAAAATACTTAGCAAATCATGGGCAACATATTTATTTCAAAAGATTTTATTGTCATAAGTATAAAATGAAAATTTATATGATAATTACTTAAAGAACATGCAGTCATAAATATGTAATAAGTCAGTAAGGTTTTCAGTATTTTTGAGGAAGTGCCTGTCTGAACTGTTTGTCTCAGTGTTATATAGACAGAGGACTAAAATCAAGGTCTTTATAAATCTATAAAAATTTTTCCAAATTCCTAGCATTAAAAAAATTCTTTAATGATACTATTAACATTTCCTCTTCACTATGATTAACCATGTTTTTATGATTTTGTGAAGAAGGACTGAAGCTATGTTTTGTAGAGGATATGGACAAACCACAATTCCCGCTGAATCTTTCCTTTTTCACTTTTTAACACATTTTTTGATAAGATTAGCAAAAAAGTAAATTAAATATGTCTCCTTCATGGGTTTTGTGGGAATTCGGTAAACAGATAAGTAAAGATAATGCCCATCCCCAGGGCCAAACATGTTTTGATGACATTCCTTTGCTTGATAAAAATTCCATTCATTAAGTTTTGCAGGGAATTTACTTCCTCTTTTATTTCTTATTCCTTCTGGCTACCAAAATGAAATATCCTGTTCTTCATGAAATAAAGCTCCTTTTTCCTTTGCATCATTTAAAAATAGAGAACATCAATGGATATCTAAATTCCCTATTACCTAGATTTCTTAGGGTTTTCTTTTTCCCTATGTACCGGTAGTGCTATTTGGTGGGGCTGCAGGAGAGGTTCATTTATGTTGGTGTTTATTTGTCATAATTATAGATTATGAATACTAATTAACAGTTACTCCTTCGATATTGTAAAGGAAGGAAAAGGGAATCTCTTTTTCCTATTAGTCTTTTTTCTGTATACTTTGATGCATACAATATACTGTAGATCACTTAATTTTCACGACACCTTATTTTCGTGAGATAGTCATTGACTCTTGATTAGCGAGACAAAATTTTCACGAATTGTGGTTATTGCTCTATATAATCTTAAGGAATACAATTATATGCGAGAATGAAATTTTCGCGAGCATACTGTCTCGTGTAATTACGCAAAAATAAAGTTCTCGCGAATAAAACGTGATTTACAGTACATGTATATCTTAGGGTTGGTAATATTGATAAATATTAATCTAGCTTATTATGCCAATTCTAATGACAGGTAAATGTTAAATGAATGAGGGACCAGTCTACCATTTAAGTAAAATAAGATTAGCAAGAAATATTAATGAATTTGGAAAAAAAACAGTTTATAATTTCTCAATCTTATTCTTAATCAGTGAAAAATTTTGTAAGTAATTCTACTTGTCATCCTTCATTTTATGATACACATTAATTGTTAGTTGTAGAATTTAGAAGGTAGATTATTTTTGTAGGGTGGACGGACTACTTGCTATTGTGATTACTGATCGAGATGGCATCCCATTGTTAAAAGGTATTTCTTTATGGCAGAAATAAAATACAAAAGTCAATTTGAGATACAGAATCTGAGATGAACTAATTTGTTTGAAATGCTTAAAATGTAAATTGTAGTATGCAAAATTTTGTTTTATGAAATATATTCAGCCTTTCTAATAAACTTTGCATGGAAAATTGATCAGTCGCAGCAGTGCACAATACACACACATTCACACCTGTAGGCCTTTTACTTCAGTGGTATGGTGATGCAAATCTACAGAATTATCCAGGTTCAAAGGGATTCTCTTAATGAATTTGCATTTTTGATACGATCTTCCAAGTGATGTTTTAGCACTGTTGTAACAAAGTGCTGAGCCCAGGGCAAGGCATGCACACTACCACAGAGTTTAGACAAACACAATATCAGTCTATCATCACCACATTGTTAGAGGCCAGCATTACATTTCTCTAGAATTCAGGTGTACGAAGCAAAGGTTTCTTGCCTACAATTTTTTTTTTCAAATTGACTATTTACAGGAGATAATTGGCCAAATTAATGGAGATAAAGAAAGAATAAATTAAACAATGTGCATGAGAAATTTCTTCCAAGAAAAAAATTCCCACAATTTCCCCCTTCTTGCATTAAATCATTTTAAAGGAAGATCACTCATATTTTAATGATCTCCATAGCCAATAAATTGTGTGTGTGTGTGGTAGAATGAAGAGAATTATGATTATTATTTTTTTAAACTTTGATATGAATTTTTGAATTTCTACATCAAAGAATTTGACAGTTGTGTAGAATTTATCAGCAGATTAAAGCAATTGCGTATTTCCCTCAAGGTGACACAGTAATGTCACAAACAAAAGATAGCATCTGTTGGGAGCAGATTAATGGCTCTGACCTTCACTGGAAATAATTATAATGATTTTATGACATGACTACCTCCAAATCACCAAAGTCAAAACAATTATAATGATTTTTATGATATTACTACATCCAGATCACAAAAAAGATTGACGTGCATTATTTGTAATCAATAAATCAGGGAAAACCCAGATTTGTATGTGTTGAGTTTTAGATCAGGTTCATGTGCCCTGCCAGGGGATGGGGCTGATGTTTGTGATAGTTGATAATAAAAAATATTCCAATCTCTAGAGTTAGAATTAAGATTTTAGCAGCATTTTTTTTTTTAAATAAAAATTTCACATTTTGACCCAAAGTCTGTACATCTCAGATTGGTCTTCAAAAAAAAAAAATCTTATAGGTGCAGATTAAAAGGCAACAAAAGTACATGTAGTTGAAATAAGTTTTTAAATATAGGTAATGGAAGGATAAAGTTATCAAAATTGTTCTAAATGACAGTTTCAGAGAATTTGAAGCCTTTATAAGTTGGTATGTGGTTTGTGACTGTCAGTTTTTGACACCTGGACAAAGTTATTTACAATCTATTCTATTCTCCAGGCATAGGTTTAGGAATGCTCACTGTTTTCCTTGCATGTATTGAAGTCACATAAAAGCACTTGACACCTGTCTTGTACTCACACATTAAGAATTATAGCCACATATGGCAACACACATTTAATGACATGTTAAGATAAATTTAAGGTACCCATGCCCCTTTCAAAGGTAATAAAATCAACATGTACTTTTATTTACTGCTGTTATACAACTTTCAAAGAAATGTAAAGAACATGCCTAATTATGATCAATATTGTCCATAATCAAGCTTTTCAAGGAGGTCAGGTTCAGTTATTATGTATGAAGCAGTGAACCTTATCACAAGTATAATCAGGATCTACTGTAGGTGTTAAGTTAATAGCTTCTATCACAGGTATAATCAGAATCTACTGTAGGTGTTAAGTCAATAGCTTCTATCACAGAGATAATCAGAATCTACTGTAGGTGTTAAGTCAGCAGCTTCTATCACAGGGATAATCAGGATCTACTGTAGATGATAAGTCAGTAACATCTATCACAGAGATAATCAGAATCTACTGTAGGTGTTAAGTCAATAGCTTCTATCACAGGTATAATCAGGATCTACTGTAGGTGTTAAGTCAGCAGCGTCTATCACAGGGATAATCAGAATCTACTGTAGGTGTTAAGTCAGCAGCGTCTATCACAGAGATAATCAGGATCTACTGTAGGTGTTAAGTCAATAGCTTCTATCACAGGTATAATCAGGATCTACTGTAGGTGTTAAGTCAGCAGCTTCTATCACAGGTATAATCAGGATCTACTGTAGGTGTTAAGTCAATAGCTTCTATCACAGAGATATTCAGGATCTACTGTAGGTGTTAAGTCAGCAGCTTCTATCACAGGGATAATCAGGATCTATCGTGAGTGTTAAGTCAGCAGCTTCTATCACAGCCCTGGATAATCAAAATCTACTGTAGTGATAAGTCAGCAACTTCTATCACAGGGATAATCAGGATCTACTGTAGGGGATAAGTCAGCATCACAGGGATAATTAGGAGCTACTGTAGATGATAAGTCAGCAGCTTCTATCACAGAGATAATCAGAATCTACTGTAGGTGATAAGTCAGCAGCTTCTATCACAGGGATAATCAAAATCTACTGTAGGTGATAAGTCAGCAGTCTTATCACAGGGATAATCAAGATCTACTGTAGATGATAATTCAGCAACTTCTATCACAGGGATAATCAGAATCTACTGTAGGGGATAAGTCAGCATTCTTATCATAGGGATAATCAGGATCTACTGTACATGTAGGTGATAAGTCAGCAGCCTCTATCACAGGTATATGATGATTATAGATTTACATACAGCTGTCAGAGAAGCCACTGCCTTGTGCAATCTGGACAAGGTTCCTGTAAGACACCACTAACATGCGCCAGTTTTTGCAGCCAGCCTCTGTAAAGTGTGGGGTTTTTTATTTCAGTTTGGGTCTGGAATATGTTTTTTCAACATCTGTATTCTGTTTTGATGAACATGTTCTAGAGAGATGATGAATGAAGATTTTGCAATTTATGTTCAGTTTGTCACACTTGGCTCTCCTGGCTGACATTTAGCAAAATTCAATCATTTTAGCATGAGAAATATTTACAAGAATCCTAAGGTTTTTTCAATTCATAGTTCAGTAAGTGGTTAAGTATGGTGTCTATCATGTCGTGTCAGGGAAGGAAAGTTGAGCAAACATTAACATTCATAATTAAAGCAGCCACATTTGAACGCAGTAGAAGAAACCTTGTCCGATTTTCTGCTGTAGTTAACACCTGTTGATTTATGATTTTGAAAAAAACACCAAGTAGCTGTGAACTGTGTTTGCAAATTTATGAAATGGAAACTGCCATAAATTTTTGAATTTATGAATAGATAGAACTTTGATTGATGTCCTAATCATATGAATTTCAGTTGCCATGGACCAGGTCCCAGAACAAGCACTGCGGCACAGTTTTTTGAGTACGTTTGGAACAGCCACAGAGCAAGCTAATAAACTAGGACTCAAACAGAGCAAATCTGTTATATCCATGTTTAAAAATTATCAGGTAGAATGTTTTTATAATAAGTAATAATTAGCATGATTGAAAGCACTTCCAGGTTTTATGACCTAGATGATAGAAGGGGTGTGTTTGTTATATTGATTTTAATATTTTAATTAAACTTTTTGTTTGGTGTTCCAGGATTCATTAAAATAAAAAAAAAGAAAGTCAGGTTTCCGAAGTTTCTTTAATTGAACTCGTAGAAATCAAACAAACAATAAACACCTATGATTGGCCAATGATTTTGAAAAATTATTAGGTTGTCTTTATCTATTTTACAGGTTGTACAAATAAACAAATTTCCACTAATTGTAACATTTATAGCAGAAAGTGATGCAAATACAGGTGAGTAGAGATTGAAATGACCAGTAAACTTGAAAGATTATATATACCATAGATATTTTCTCTTTGATACAAAAGTCATTGTATAAAATACAGGAACATTATTATTTGAATTTAAATACATCTACCGTATAATCTGTATTAACCGCCCTTGCTCCTATAAGCACCCCCTTAGGTCTTTTTCAATTGTCAGGAAATAAGGGCCCCCTGTACAGTGATTAAAGTCATCTAGAATCGTATTAATAAATCTGCCAAAATTTGAAGAAAGTGAAAATGAAACCTGTCTATAATCCAATTTCTCGGTGGAAAATGAATCATTTACCTTAATTTGGGTGGATTATCTTCACTTAAAGTAAAGTAAAACATTATTTTTAATAACTCGTTCTTTGAATATATTTATTTTTTCAAAGATTTTTTGAAGTTAAAATATGAATTTTCTAAGTGCTCGGGGCGGTTAATAGGGATTATACTGTAAGTCATCATATGCTGTATAACAGGCATATTTAATTTTGGTAAACTAACTTTAATTCTTAAAGAGAAAATTACCCCGGTACATATTAGGTTAAATAAATTTTTTAAAAAGTGTGAAATTTATCTGAGGACCATGAAGTGAATACCTTGATTTGAATTTAAAATAGCAGAATAAAGATTCTTGATGTTTTTAAATCATTATAAAGATAATACCTATCTCCAAAAAACATTTACAGTGTTAAATTCCAACATTGTTTTGTTCTTGTTGATTTTAATTAATCTTGATGTTAGCTCTTAGACCTCTTGAGCTCCAAGATGTATAACTTCAAGATATGGTATTATTTTGGTTCATAATGAAGAAATTTTAAATATATTTTTTGTTATTGAATTACAAGACTGTTCAAGGTAACATGTAAAGTGGGTGGATCATATTTCTAAAAAAATACTTCATCTGCTTGATGCTCTAATAACAAACTGAAGCTTCACAGTTAGTAGGAGAGAGGGAAAAAATTAAGATTTACCAGGTAGTTAAATGTAAAAAATAAAGCATGTAAACTGGTGCATTGTTAACCTGTAATGCACTGTGCATCTTAGGGGGTCTTTTATCTGTTTGGCAAAACTTGAAGACTATATCAATTATGAAAATATACTTTTTGCAAGGATCCTCTAGAGAAGAAGGCATTTTTTGTTTCTCCAGTTTTTGCATTGATGTAAATCTGTATCAGTGCCGTCTAGAGCCTTTGGTACATATGTATATTTATATTGAGGGTCACACGGGTTCAGGTGCCAGTTTGGCCTACTTACCTGTCAGATCGAGGTCAGATATTTAGGTCAAGCTTTCACTGGCTTCTGATAAGGTGACCATCGGCTCTGAAACGAGAGCCTAGTCAGGATTTACATATCAATATTGGTTATGCCCTCCAGAAAATTTATAGAGCCGGTGTTAATCAAGGGATAAAACTCTTATTAATGTAATCCCAATAGAAGCAAATATTTGTGTTAGAATGTTATTAAAGTAGTAGATAAATCATATACAAAAAAAAACTTATACAAAAATGATCAGAATAAAAAAGGATGGAGCATTTCTGTGATGGATGTGATAATTTAATTTTAATGTTGTATTTTAACAGTCATCATTTCTGTGAACAAATAAAAAGCATACTACAATTTATTAAGATTCTGGGTACCCTGTATAGTATCTCTGATCTCCGTAACAGTTGATTATATTTGTATCTCGGTAAGCCTGTGTTGATTTGGCAGATAACCAGATTAAGTGAACATAGGGTCAAATCTGTTCAAACAAAACAGTGATGAAATAGGAAATGATGGCCAATATCGCTCCATATTGATGTTGATATCATTTTGTGCTGTTCTATTTCCAGGCTTGCTGCTTAATTTGGAAGCAGACATGCGAGATTTACTGAATGATCTCCAGCGAGTTGTACCGCCTTCCTAGACACACCATTACTACACAGAATGGACTAGGGCAAAAAGTGCAATTTTTATTAACGTCTTTGTTTGCAGTTGGACAGTTTCCTTGGTAACAGAGGATAGAATGCAACATCTATATATAACTTGACAACTTGTTAATCATGTACAATATTTGTCTAATCTCTATATTGGTGCTTGTGATTATGAAGACTTGCTCTAGTATTTTTTGAAAATATTATTACCCCCTTCAGATGAGAGATAAATTGATTCTGCATATTCTTCTAGACATTTTTAAATAAAATAGATTATCTTGTCATTTATGCACTGCTGGCATGAGGTATAGAGACTTACCATTTCTTAATTCTGTTAATTCATTTGTATTTCTCTTAATATTTGTTTTTTTTATGCAAAATAATGACATTCCAGCCCTTTAATAGGCTATTATAATTAATGGGGATATAGACTAAAATGTTGCATTTCAGAGATTGTTATGAACATTAATGTAAGATAAGAGTCTAGCTTGAATGAAGAATGAGTGATCAAATGTGAGGAAAGATAAGTATGTATTATTAGTTGTATTTGGAGATTTTTATAAATAAAGTTTATAAGGACGATAATCTCTGTTTTTTGTTCAAACCCACCGCTAAAATTGACTTATGGTATGAGAGAATTTTATTCTATGAACTTTGTTTATTTTTTTCACCATCATAGGTGGACATTAGCATTCATTTTCATTATTTATTTGCAGTTCATGTAACATGGGTAAGGGGGGAAAAAGTAGAATAACTCTTGAGAATTTTTTCTTGAGGTTCAACCAAATTCTTACTCCTAAAGTCAGTTTAGTTGCCCATTCAAAGCAGCTAGACATTAATAGTATCTATTTGCTAATTAATAACACTTTTCTAGAATGCGGACATACTGTACTGAGGGAATGTTCTTTTTGATTTCTAACCCCCCCCCCCCTCCCCAAAAAAATAACGGGCACATAGAATTTTTCAAGACATAACTTTGAAAGTATGGCTGTCCACCACACTTCTTTTTGCAGTATAATAAAATAAGATGGTGTAGTGTTTTTGAGTAAAAAAAAAAGTGGATAATGAAAGATTTTTATTAGGTCACCTGAGTAACTCAGGTAACCTATTGCTATCTGTTTTCGTCCGTCGTCTTCCGTCGTCCGTCGTGTGTCGTGTGTTAACATTTGAACATTTTCAGCTTCTTCTCTGAAACCACTGAACCAATTTCAACCAGATTTGGTATACAGCATCTATGGAAGTAGGGGAACAAAAATTTTGAATTTTATGGTCCCCCCTCCCTGGGGCCTGAGGGGTGGGGCCAAAACCACCAAAATTATTGCAATCTTTAAAAATCTTCTTCTTTACTCCTGGACATCGAGCAGGCAAACTGTTGGCATGAATGTAATGAGCATTGAGTCCTCTACCAAAATTGTGAAATTCATGTCCCCAGGGTCAGGGGTTCTTGTGCTAGGGTGGGGCTATATAGATTATATAGTGAAGATGCATTAATTCTTTGAAAATTTTCTTCTCTGTTCTTGGGTATTAAGTAAACTAACTAAGTACATGTACATAGTTATGATGAGCAAGAGTGCCACTTCTGCAATTGTGAATTTAATGGCCCCAGGGTCATGGTTTCTGGTGTTAGGGCGGGGCTCTGTTGATTATATATATGTAGTCAAAAGCATTTATTCTTTGAAAATATTCTTCTCTGTTTCTGGGTATTAAATAAACTAATTAAGTACAATAGTTTTGTTGAGAAAGAGTGACTCTTCCAAAATTGTGAATTTGATGGCCCCAGGGTCAGGGGTTCTGGTGTTAGGGTGGGACTCTATTTATCATACAGTGAAAATGCATTAATTTTTTGAAAATCTTCTTCTCTGCTTCTGGGTATTAAATAAACTAACTAAGTACATAGTTATGTTGAGAAAGAGTGACTCTTCCAAAATTGTGAATTTTATGGCCCCAGGGTCAGGGATTCTGGTGTTAGGGCAGGGCTCTATTGATCATATACTGAAAATGCATTAATTCTTTGAAAATCTTCTTCTCTGCTCCTGGGTATTAAATAAACTAACTAAGTACATAGTTATGTTGAGAAAGAGTGCCTCTTCCAAAACTGTGAATTTTATGGCCCCAGGGTCAGGGGTTCTGGTGTTAGGGTGGGGCTCTATTGATTATATGGTGAAAATGCATTTATTCTTTGAAAATCTTCTTCTCTGCTTCTGGGTATTAAATAAATTAACTAAGCACATAGTTATGATGAGCAAGAGTGCCTCTCCCAAAATTGTGAATTTAATGGCCCCAGGGTCAGGGGTTCTAGTGTTAGGACAGGGCTCTATTGATTATATAGTGAAAATGCAAATTCTTTGAAAATCTTTTCCTTTGCTCCTGGGTTTTATGCCAATGATGCAAGTACATGTATACATATATTTACGATGAAGAAAGGTGCATCTAGGAAAATGGTTATTTTTTTATGCCCCCTGGGTCCCGGGGGGGGGGGGGGGGGTTACATAATCTGAAAATAAATTAATGCTTTGAATCTGCTCTTTAGTATTACACAACCATTTTATGATAAAATTTGCAAATTTTTGAAATATGTGGCCCCAGGGTCAGTGGTTCCTTTGGGGTGAGGTGCACAACTGGTTATAAAGTGGAAGTGCATTTTCTCTTTGTTACTCTGATCGATCTACCTCTAGGTATTAAGTAAATAGTGTAAGCATGTTAAGTTTATAATTATGATTAGCAATGGTGCCTCTTTCAAAATTGTGAATTGTGAATTTCATGGCCTCTGGGGTAAAACACGAACCAATTTTAATTGTTTGAAAGTTGTTACACGATACTCAGGTGACCTATAAGGCCCGTGGGCCTCTTGTTACTTAAAGTGTTTATTTTTCTTCCTCTGGCCGGCCCCTTCCCAATAAAAAGAGGATGCTACGTCTCAGAGTATCATTTTCTATTGTAAAAGAGTCATGAGACATTTTATATAGGCCTACAAAGTACTAGAAACGGCCTTTCAATTTATTTACAATACGAATGATTTGATGTACGATTTATCATAATACAAAAAGGTGAAGGTCACTGCATTCATTTTCGATTCGCGCCAAGTTTGATGGCGAGAGCGGGTAAGTAAACAATATGGTAAGATAGGGAAAAGGTTCACAGATCTATGTAAAAATGTAGAAAAACATCTACATTTAATCTGTTTTTATTTAAAGGAATGTCCTTCGAGTAAATGACTATTCGATTTAAGGAATACAGTTGAAAAATATTCTTTACAAAAGCCAAAATGGCTTATAATCTGTTTTAACAACGATGGACTAATATACGATAATCAGGAAATTTTAGCAACAGATTAAGATGATCCATCAGGGACCTCTATAGTATATTATAGTATATAGGTCTTTGGATCCATAGACTCTTAGATATGCACGGAATCGAGCTTCGGTTCTGATGGTTGAGAAATATTCAATACATACAGTTAGTAGACCCGAAATGAATCAGTCATCAGTGTTAAATTTCTAGTTATATTTCAATTTAATCTCATCAAAATTTAGTACTAATTTCTCTTTCGAAACTCAGTGTCACACAAAGTCAATTGAGAAACTTTAATTTGCCTGAACATATCAGGTCCAGTCTAAAGACTATTTCTACCTACGTAGCTATTAATAGCTACGAAGGTTAAACATTGACCGAATTTTTACCTAAAGTAGCTATTTTTACCTACTTATTTGTTTGACATCTGATTTTGTGGCCAAAAGGCCGAGTTATCACCATAGTATATACCAAATTTTTTGATACAGTCACACTGATATAATACAACAAAATTTTTAGAATTATAATCTATTACTTCCTGAATTGGCAAAAAACATTCTTTTAAAATGCAAAATTGATAATATACGAACCTGTAATCATTTTTTGGCCAAATTTTTGTTATGTCTACCATTAAAAAAATGACTATATAAGTGTCTATGGAGTAAAATTTGTGCCTTTATAGTGGGAATGGCACAAAATTTAAATCAAGGGGACAATAAAGTAGGTAAAAATAGCTACTTTGGGTAGGTTTATATACCTATGTAGGTATTAATAGCTACGTAGGTAGAAATAGTCTTTGGACTGGACCTGCATATTACAATACAAATGGGTTGAATTGAATTGCCTGTCTGCCAAAACTGTTCGCTTTGGAGTTAGGATATTCTTTTAATTTCCCATCACTATAAAACATCCAGTTCTTACCTTTAATGCTGTTTGGGCTTTTAATTAGACCAAAATTCAATTGTTATTTTTTCAGTGCATGGAAATATTCATTTAAAACAATTCTCTCGAGGTCAATAATCGTCTGCTTTCAAATTCTTCATTCTACTTGATTTGAAATTTGGGGAAGTTTCTAGTATGCCGGTCCCCAGAATCACGCGATTGTGCATGAGCAGTTATTTCCCTTGCCGTTGCTATGCAGAATGTCAACAAACCCCAATTTCCCACTCTCTTCAACAAAACGCATCCGATTGAGTGATTAGGGTTAGGTGATATAGTTTTTAAAAATTGGGGTTGTTTTATAAATCCACTCTGTAATCTTCCTGACGTTGGGCCTAATTTATGTAATTTTTGCTTACAAAAGGCACTACTTTAAGTGCCTTTTGTGACCAAAAACTTGCATGAATCAGCCTGATGTTGAATCGTGCCGATTTATTATCTTACTACACTTCGGTTTAGTTCCTGAAATTTTTGCTTTACAGAGAACAGGAAAGTTTAAAAGAAAGTTCGGATGAATCAACTCTAATGTCGAAACATGACCGATTTTGAGTGCTAAGTTTAGGCAAGTTATTGTAAAAGCGACTTACCGTTAACTGTAGCTTAATATTCTGACCTCCTAATGATATTGTTCCTTTATCGATGATGATGCACAATTCGATTAATCAATCACTAGTAATTAGCTATTTGTTAAATCCATGTATTTCTCACAAAAATCTCGCACTTTTAATGGCATTGCACTTTGAATTCTATCAGGTATATCTTCATTACGTCAAAACACAAGTGACGCATCTCATGAATATTTATGAGATTACGTCAAACATTGATCATGTGATCACATTCCTAAACAACGCAAGATGGAACATATTCTTTTTAAACCAGTACGTTGTTTTACAAAATCTTTTAATTCTGGATTTAAAAAACTGTGTTTAAAAACCATTTTTTTAAACCCAATTTTTCACAAGGAACACGAATTTGGGGTCAATTTTGCAATTTGTGGCTTAATTTTCGATTTTGTTGATAGCATATATATTGTACACCGCCTTCGGCGGCACCTATTTTAGCGCCATATTTACAGGGACCGGTATACTAGAAGTGTTCCGAAATTTGTAGGGGGAAGGTAAATGAATTCAACCTATATTGATTGTAACAAGCAATCAAAGTTAACATAAGATTTCCTGAATCACTTTGTAGGACAGTGGTCTGAGAATCGGATAAATTATTGGTAAAAAATTAGTCTGAAATCAGGCTGAGATCATTTCGGCTTTCTGAGCCTTTCCTTTTCATCAGTTACTGCTATAATTCACTAGAACTCACTAATATGTTGATGCTGCGACTGCCTCGGCAAGCGCAGATACTTACTCAGTTTTAATTTAGATTGGGCTCATCAAACTGCATGTGACATTTAGTGCATTTTGACTCTGATTCTGACATCACATGACACCATAGTATTAGTTACATTACCCAAAGCTTGAATAGTGCTGACTTTAGTGAAGAACGTTTTATTTACAGTAACTATTTATCTGCAGTATATCCATTAAATCAAGGTGTGCTTATTTTTTTGATTTTTGTTGTTGTCATTCTCACAAGAACATATCTTAAAGAAGGGATGCATTGTGGGTTACTATGGAAAAAAAATTGTGTGGATCAATGTGCAAGTCCGAATTTCCTCTTTGCCCAGGCTTTGTTGCTAGAGCTTGCTTTGCAAGCAGTGCATCACGCTGCTTGCTGCTCTTGCTATTATTAATCAACAATCATTGTTTAAAGCACAACTACGTCAAAGTTTGAAGCTTTGTTTTTAAGTGTTTTAAATGTATCATAACTTATATATTTTATTGCAGGACCAAGCACATCTAAGCTGTCATGACAGCCTATGAAGTTTCAAGGGAACCAAGACAGGTAGAGGGATAGAAATATAATAAGATGAATTACTGTGAATCACTTTTTATTCACGAGAACTTTATTGAAATTGAAAATTTAATTTTCCCGTTTATTTGTATTCCTGAAGATTATAATAGGGCAATTCCCACAATTTGTGAAAATTCTATCTCATTAGTAAAGAGTTAATGGCCATCTCGGGAAAATAAGGTGTTGTGAAAATTTAGTGATCTACAGTATGCTGTACATTTTAATCATTAAATATTGTATAAGACTAAGAATTTAGATTTGTAAGTAATAAAATCAAGATCACCAAGAGGAGTGCTTAAGTGAGCTTGTAAAGTCTGATAACAGCTAAGTAACACTTTTGACATCTTTGGAACTAGATCTATCAAGTACTGACCAATTTTGTTGAAAATTCAAAGCAGGCTTGAATAAAGTTCTGTCCATCTGGTTTGTTCAAATGAAGGTTTTTGCCCATTTCATTTTAAATATTGTTTTAACATTTGCTTTTTATTGTAAAAGGAAAGGTAGCTGAATCTAACTTCATTTTTTAATTCAGGTCCTGAAGATGTCAGATGAAGTCAACACCCCACAGAGGTCGATAATGGACTTCTTCAAAACTCCTCAAAAAGAACAGTTGACATCAAAACCCAAAGATCTTCTAGGCTTCTTCTGTAGAAAAGACACCAGTAGTACAAAGAAAACCCCAGAATTAATCTGCAATGGAAAGGTAATAGTTTTCTCTTTAGAAATCTTTAAAAGTTATTATTATGTGAACTAAATACAGTATATATCCTTAGATATATATGTCCTGCTTCTACTAGACAAAACTGTTAATGAAATTATGAAATCTTCTGTATATAACACCACACCAATGAAATTTCTTGTTCTTCGGAGAGCTGAGCCCAAAAAATTGGGGCAAGCGAGCGATTTGATAATTTTAATATTAAAATTTTTTATCAACATAATTTCCAGGCGTAATTCCGTAAAATAACGTATCGAGCAATAATATATTTAATGAGTACAGCATTTAGATTAAGTTTTATGTAAATGTATTAAAACTTCTTTGAATTGTTTTTCTGATTTTTCTCCAAATTGCCTGTTCAATGCCATATTTGTACACAAACAAAACAGTCATAATACACGTAAATACGTTATTATTTTACAGCTATACATAATGACTTTATTCCATATGTAAAAAATAATAATTTTAAAATATACAACTTGGGCACATTCCTTTATATTTTAGAGTATTTACCGGTGGACATTTGATGTCCGCCATTTTTATTTTTCTTCTCCAGGGATTTGCTAAAACACGCAAACGACCATAGACTGGCATCAATTTATTTCACTTATTTTACATTTAAATAAATATAAGACTGTCACAATAAAAGAAATATTTAATATACTATTTCAATTTATTTCTACTAATAAATGGTAAAAACCTTTGTGATCGTGTTTTCCATATTTTAAATTTTTTTACGGTGTACAATTTTATTTGCTAGTTTACTGCATGACTTCACAAGATGGCTACCACATGATAATGGATAATACGTTGAGGAATTATTTACTAGATGAAGCAATGTTTTTTCCTTTGTCATCAACGAATATTTAATGGAATTGATTTTGTAAGAAAGCTAAAGAATAAATAATTTATTGTTTACCGGAGCATTAATTTTTTTTGCGTAAAATAATCAAAAAATTGGCCAATTCCAGCTGGCACAAATTTACTTTGAAATTGATTTTTACTGGTGTGGGGGCATTTTTGCACAATATCAGAGCCTTAAACAGGTCGAAAATTCACATTTAATATTTAAAAAAAAGTCGACCTATATTCCGTAAATTATGGTAGATGTCCTGCTTCTACAAGACAAAACTGTTAATGAAATTCTGAAATCTTCCATATTTAATTGACAGTTGATTTAGTAATTCATCAAATATATAAATAAAAATAAAGCAATATTTGTAGTTCTTCATTTAAAAAAGGTGGAAAATTTTTTTAAATATAAAACTAATTTTTTTTCCTAGGCAGGGATTGACATATATACGGTTGTATTTTAAAATAAATCCTATCGGGCAAGTGAAACTATCATGCCAATTGTCCGATCGGGCAAGTGGATATTTCTGCAAAACATTTTTTTAATCTCACATAAGTTTATAAACAACACAATGAATTAAACACTTGGATTTACTGTAAAAACGGGAAATTGTTAAAGAATTGTCTGAGCGTTTCTGGATAACAAATCGGGTTTGTTACGGTATTTCCTTCCAATTTGCAAAATACGATTATCTGTTCAACTTATGTTACCTTTTATGAAATAGAGATTACAGAATACTTTCTCTACCCAGTTAAGGAATTATATGTAGTCAATTATTTACTGATACACGATGTATCTTGATTCAAAACATAACCACAAAATCTCTTGCTTCTGGCTTCACCTCATTTTTATATGAAAAAATTAAAATTTCAAGCAAAAATCATTAGGCCTTTAGAAAATAACATTCCTGTGGTAAAAAGTGTGTTTTCAAGATAGTTAAATGACAGGAAACTGTTTTACATAATATTGTACATTTACAAATGTAGCATCACCAAAATTTGATTTATTCCATGGTAGTTAACTTCAAAATTGAGATTAATTTGTCAACTTTTATATTTACAAAAAATTCATGGTGTTATAAGGTTTTTTTTTCTCCAAAAATTTTGGGCAAGTAAATTGCAAAATACATGCTTAAAAATCCACTTGCCCGAAGGACAAGTGGAAATAAAAGTTAATGTCTACCCCTGCTAGGCTTTTATATTTCAAATGACATTTCTCAACTAAAAAATGAAAACTCAAACAGTAAAATCATGGAGTGTAAACATTATATATGCTCCAATGACCTGACTGTGGGTAGTATCGCTTTTTACCAAAATTACCTATTACGCCACTGATATTAATTTTACAACATATATTTTGGTTTAAATCCATTATGAACCTCTAAATTTAGAGTCAAAGTACGACCTGCTGAAATGAAATGAAAAGTTCTAGTAAAAGTATTTTTGACGAAACATTCGATAACTAACGTAATGTTTCTAGTAGTTACATGTACACCGATATTGCGAAGATAAAATGAAAAATGGCACTACTTATGTTAACGATTAAATGATATTGCAATAAGTAAAATTTCTATGCTCAATTTAGTTTTTTAACATTGCTTTGAACAAGATAGAGAAATGTGAGTGTAAAAAAAAAATAAAATACAGTGTTATTACATGTATGTACGAGTTGATTTTACATGCAAACGCATCTTTCAATTAAGTGATTTGATACAAATTGACAAATGCTTCACATTTGCGGTTGTTTGAGTTTACATAGGAAACTGGTCTTTTACAACACTTTTTTGCCAATAGATGATAAAAGAAAAGATTATGCCAGCTTTGTTTAGTAATATACAATTTCGGTGATTTGAGAGAAAATAAAGTATTATACATTGTAGTAAAATAACAAAATAGGAAAACATGATTGATTACGCTTTTACCTCTGAAATTCCACCGAAAAAAAATCTGAAATTACACCCTTGCAATGAAAAGGGTAGGCAGGTCTGGGTCCATGGTTCAGCTACTGTAGTGTAGACAATACACAACATGCATAAGATGAGACATTGATATAGTCAGTAGTCTAAAAAAGAAAATCGCATTCTTAAGTAGAATATCCATTACACCTGTACAAAGTTTGAAAGGTGTTTCTGATCTGATAATCTTTTGGTGTCTTTCATGATTTACTGAAAAATAATATCTGCAACTTTTCTTTCATCTCCGACTCGGCAATAACCAGTAGAATTATAAATATTGGTGTTTATTATTTATTTGTCTGTTAAATGAAGCAAGATCTACAAGTAACAAATTCATTGGTTTTGTAGGACATTCCTGAAACAAAAGAAAATGTATTGAACAAAGGAAAAGAGAAAAAAGATGAAAAGGCAAGTCTGCCAAAGAAAAGAAAGAGATCAACCTCAAAAGACGGGGATATTTCTGATGATAACGCTAATGACAAAGCTTCTGGGAGGAAGAACAGGTTGAAAAGGAAGAAACAAGAAACAGTTAAAGCAAAAGACAACAGGCAAACAACACCTAAAGGGAAAACGGTTAGTAGTGGAGAAGTTAAATCTGTATGTAATGCCACAGAGGAATCAAAGACCAAAACTGGGACTGTTTTTTCAATTGGTGATAAGGTCCATTCTGATATCAACAAAGAGGAGGGAGATTCTGATAAAGATACACATAAATCTGATCAGAAAAAAGAAAGTGATTTGGTACAGACAGAACAAATGACCAGTGAAGATGAAGTACCAAAATGTGCTGAAAGTAAAACCTGTGGAAGACCTGATTTGGCGCTAAATGGAAATAAAACAGGTAAATGTAGTCCAGGGAAGGAAAAAGAAGTGGAGGCTACATCAAATCTAGAATGGAACAAACGGATAGACATAGAGAAATGTAGAACACCCAAAGACAAGGATAAAGAAAAAAGTGTTAAAAAGAAAAATAAACTTAGAAAGAAAAAGAAAGAGGCAGAGTCACAAGAGACTGCAAAGAAAACGCTAAACTTGTCAGACATTTGTACCAATATGGCTGATGTCTCAATTCTTAGTGATGGAGGGCTGAACACGAGTCAGGTGAAGGACAATCAAGATTATGTGGGAACTGACAGTATGCAGGAGAGGGGGGAGAACATTACCAGTATATCAACTGCAACAGAGGTGAACTATGATGTATTCCTTGGTAATGGAGACGCAGAAGAGAACACTGCAGAGAGGTGTGACAAGATGGAAGAGTCAGGGAACATGGAGGAAGAAAGTTATGAAGATTTTTTATCCAAACAGCAGAAGGAAAATGACAATGATGCAAACAAACAACAAGATGATGATAAACCCACAGCTGCTGCTGAACCAGTTAAAAAGAAGAGAGGACGACCTAAGAAAACAGACAATTTACATTCTACAAGTCAGAGGACTGGAGAGAAAATTCCTGTTAGTGATGCTAGCAAAGGCGGTAAATCAAAGGAGGATTTTCCCACAGAAGATGTGCTGGAGGTGAGTTACCTGGACTACTTAAATACAATTGGAGACAACAACTCAGAGAAACAAGGAATTCCAAAGAAAAGTATTAATGATATGCTTGGAAAAGGTATTAAAGGTATTATTTCCCAAGAAGACGATGCTGGATCTACAGTAAAACCATGTGACGATGATGGAACAAACATTCCAATGCCAAAACAATATCCGTCTATCACCAACTTTTTTTCTAAAGTCAGTAAAAATGAAAAATTTAATAAGTCAACCCCTAAAGCTGATCAGTTAACTATCAAGGCTATGGTTCATGTACCAGAAAATGACAACAAAAGAGGAAATCTGGAAAAAAGTGACAAAAAACTGGTGGCCAAAAAGAAACAGCTCACAAAACACAAGAGTGAAGATTCAATACAGATATTGAGTTCAGAGATAATTGTTATAGAAGATAATGATATGGATGTCACTTGTGATGGGAAAAAGAAAAGTATTTTACAAGAGAAGAAAGAGGAAAAGGTATTGGAAGATAAACAAGACGTAATAGAAATATCGGAAGAGACTGAAGCAAGGGAAAAGAAAAACTTGTTTTTGCACAGTGTGAATGAACCAGACAAATCTATCAAACAGAAAACATCACAAGCTACACTTAGTTTTGCCAAGGGAAATCTGAAAATGAATAAAGCAGTGAAGGAATCCTTAGAAAAACCTACAGAAAAGACAAGTGAAAGTACACCAGAGCCAGAAAAGAGAAAAAGGGGTAGACCAAAGAAATCTAGTAGTGAGAAGGAAAATGTCAAGACAAAGCAAGATAACTTAAGCAAGTCAAGTCACAACTCAAGTCAGTCAAGTCACAATTCAAGTCAAGTGTTTGAAGACAAATCTGAAGAGGATAGTATGAAGGAGGAAAGAAACAATAAAAGTCTAGCTGAGAGAAGAAAATCAATTCGACTGAAATACAAAGTCAAACTTTTACAGAATTCTGAGGTTGGCTCTCCTATCAGGATGAAATTTATGAGGTACAAGTACAATTTTGTTTGTTAATTTATGAATTAATTGTATTATAAAGCATATTGTTTAACATAAATCTTAAAAACAAATTTTCTTCTTGACAGGTGTGCAAAGAGTAGTAGTGGAAGTGGCCAAGATGAATCATTCACTCCAAAGTCTAAGGAAAAGAGCAAGAATAAGGTATGATTCATGATACAAGTTCAATCTATTATGATGAGGGTACAAGCATTTGGGCACAGCAGGACAAAGAGCAGTACCACAGTTCTGGAAAAAGTTTTACATGGTGCATATATAGGAAAAATCTTTACTGTAAAAAAAAATTCAATGGATCAATTTGCAGTAGTCCTAACTTTCTTTTTGCCAAGGCCTTGCTTTAACAGCTTGAAGTGCATCATATATACCATAAGAAATCCATATAGATGTAATATTGATAATTGTTCTATTGGTTTTGTTTTTGTTAGTTTTATGAAAATTGTATAAGATGCATATTGTTTAAAGCCCAGAAATTGTTAGCAAAGGCCAAGAAAGTGAAGGGTAACCAGAAAAATCTTCAAACTGATCACAAGGGCAAAGCCAGGAAAGTCAAGGTATGATACATGATAAAAGTTCATTCAAATGTTGAGTCACAAGTTGATTCACGGGAGAAAGAGCAGTACCACAGATCTGGAGAAGTTCAAGGTAAAAGGTCACGAGTTGTCTTTTCCAAAAGGGTGTAAATTTAACCAATGAAAATATTAATTATAAAGAGGGATGTCACAAACTTAATCGCAAAAAAGCACAAAACAAAACAAAACACCTGCAAATTTATGAAAGTGAAACAAACTAGTTCTATGTAAGTGTTATATACAGCAAAACTGCATTTAAACTGGTTCGGGGAACCAGGCTATTGTTTCTGCAGAAATATGTACTAACAAATGAATGCAGAGTACTTTGTCATGTAAATCAACAAAAAAATAATTTTAAAAAATGAATTTCATTTAAACATGGTTATACACTGAATTGGTAAGCAACGATGACCATTTGATCGAGGAAATTCGGGATTATGTGACTAGTGACTGCCACTCAGAAAGACAAATAACCGCAATATCAACACTCAAAGATAGTTATGAGCAAACCTTATGTACTTTATAAATAGCTAACATACCCATGTTTGTTCTGTTTAACTGTTTATTCAAAACCAGAGTTACAGGGCTCAACATTAACTTTTTTCCTACTTTTCCATTCGGACAAGTGACTAAGACATTTACTTGTCCGTAAAATTTTTCAATAAAGTTCAGTAGGCCTAGTTTCAACTTGAAAATTAAAATAAAGTCCATTACACATGTCATGCGCTTGGTTGATTTGTGATGTTATTGATAAATACAAAAAAACACATAAGACGAAATTTATTCTAGGCTTTCTGTCCTGACAGTAACGTAAATGTCCACAAGTGAACCTGTCAACATCAAACAATCCACACCGGTTTGTATCTTCCATGACTTTTCAGTAGTATACAATTAGTGAGCTTGGATCCCGATCAAATGTGAACTCAATTAAAATATAGTGATATTTTCCTATTGTTCATCTCATTTTAAAATACCGATTTAGCTTTCATAATTTATCTTTTATTATGTGTAAAATCTCTTTACATTGAAATGCACTTGTCCAATATAGCATCAATATTCACTTGTCCAAAAAGCCTTCATTGGTACTGGACAAGCGTTAATGTCGAGCCCTGAGTTAAATTGATGACTGCTAGAAAAGCAAAATTTGAGGATCTTTTTAAATGAATGTCGGGCATCCAAATTTTCCCAAAATGCAAATTTTCCCTGCAGCAGCAATAAGTGGTGTGAGAGCCCTGTCTGGAAAAGCTGTCTGTTTCCGGTGCATTGTGAGTACAGGGTTACCACGGTAGTCCTAATTTTCTGGTTGCCCAGGCCTTGCTTTAAGAGCTTGAACTGAAGTGCAAAGGGTTTGGGTAGATGACTAAGCTCACTATTATCTTTAATAACTGCTTTGCTATCCAATTAGTTACAATGTATGCCATAATAATTTAATTTCAGTTGTAACACGTCATTTGATTGGTTAAACGGTTTTATCCATTTTGTGTAACATAACTTGCCTACGTCATAATGCGTTATGTCAAAAACGTATTACTCCGCTTGCCGTTAACTTTTAAAATATGCGATATTTGAAGTCTTTTTCTGAAGGAAAAAATGAAAAATTCTCATGATGTAAATTAAATCTGAGGAATGAACAATTCTGCATTTTATCTTTAGAAACCTGAGACCTGCGAGAAATTTTTTATAAACCGCTTCGATAAAGCGTACTCAGCTGTTTATGTTATATCGAGATCATAAGTTGAAATCAGCTTCATTCCTTAAAGAAATCCATATAGATGTAATTATTGATAATTTTTTTATTGATCTTGTTTTTCTTTTAAAAGAAGATGCAGAGTAAAGCCCAGAAATTGTTAGCAAAAGCCAAGAAAGTGAAGGGTAACCAGAAAAATCTCCAAGCTGATCAAAAGAGCAAAGCCAGGAAAGTCAAGGGGCCAGAAATCCCTACACACCTGTACATCACATCTCATCACATCATGGCCCCATCACAAGCTTGTAAAAGGTCAATGTGTCTTAGGTCAATTTTTACCAATGAAAATGAATTTTACAAAAAGGATGTCAAAAACTTGTATTCAAAAATGCTATGCATATATTTCATGACAAAAGGGGGCATTTCTTATATAAATATGAAATTTGAACAAGTTTTCCTGTAAAACAAGAATACAAGTTTTTTCTTACAAATATTCCTTTTCCAAGAAAAATCTAATGTTGAGATTGTAGATCTTGATGATAAGATATTTTTGTTACACACCAAAGAAGAAACCCAGGGCCCAGAAGCAGACACCAGCAAAGAAAAAAGGTTTATCTTCAATAGTACATGTTTTTTCCCTTTTGACAAACTGATACATAATATATTTTCCTTCAAACATTTTTTGTTCATCTCATTTTAAAACGCCCAGGCCATAATTTTTCATCTAACTTGTAAAATCTCTTTCAGAGGTGAAGAATATTGCATCAATCTTCTTAACCAAAAAGCCTAAGGCTGCAGTAAATAGCCCAGTAAAGAAAGTTTTAGATCCGGAGGCAGAGAAGTTAAAGAGGGCTTTTTTAATGAGCGGGATTCCAGCAGAGTTAAAGCAAAGTATCACTGCAGCAGCAATAGCAGCTGTGGCTAGTTATCCTCCTTTTCCGCGAGACAATCACGTCCAGCAGAAATCAGAGTCCAGGATGTGGAGCTTGGTGGACGTCGTTCTGAAGATGGTGACTCAAACTGAGTTTTGTACAAAGATATCACAGCCTTGGTGTCAGGGCCTCACAGACAGACAGATTGGGACACAAATTCTGATATTAAAGGTGCAGTGTACTTATTTGTACATGTAGATAATAGAATCATATCAATTTAAATTGATTATTCTCTGACGTAACATAAGTCTAAATAAAACATTTCTGCATTGTAATTTCAGAAACCCGAGACCTGTGAGAAATTTAGGGATGATACACTCAGCTGTTTACTGAAAGAGATCAGTCAGGTCTGTCCATCATTTCCCACACAGAAAATGTACAACATTCTGAAGGAAAAGCAGGAGGACGAAATCATTGAGGAAATAGGTGAGTGTGAAACATTAACCAGAACACCACAAACTTCTATGATGATGAAATTTAATTCTCTGAGAATTTTCTCCAAAAAGAACAAAAATTGGCAATAAAGTAGATGAGGGTAAGTTTTTTTTAATTTTTTTTTGAATTTTCTTTAAAATAAAGATAATTTTTTTTATTCACAGATATACTTTCCAAATCTGATCAAAAGGTTTGCTCTGTTCATTGCTTATCAGCATGTGAACATCGTAGGCAATGTCTTCGTCGTTTTCGTCGTAGTAGTCGTCTCTTTGTTGGCTAAACTTTTCACATTTTTTTTTTCTTCTCCGCAATACCAACTTTTTATTTTATCAAAAATACAATAAAATTAGCAATTTCAATTTTATGTAGCCTAAATACGTGTACATCTCATACACCAGACCCAATGTTATATTGGCCCCATTGCATTGTAAACAATTTCACCCAATATAAAATTCACCAAGACACAAGTTGAAAGAGATATAACTGAATCTTGAATTAGCCCAATGAGGATAAGGCCAAAGGGATGAAAATAAATAAATTTTCATTTACATATGTACATGTTACAAACTGCCATTCTAAGCTTTATCCAACCTTTAAAAGCATAATGTGAATTTTATAAGATAGACTAAATTTGTTGATTTTTTAAAACATTTGTAAATTATATTGTAGAAGAGAAGTCAAAGGAGAAGGAAAAGAAGGGGAAGCCAGAAAAAGAAAAACCCAGGAATACGGAGAAGGAAAAAGTGATAGAAATTATCTTATTCCCTGAATCTAAGGCAGACCAGGACAAGAAAGAGGATAAACAAGAGAATGGTTAGAATTGTTTGTCTCTGTTTTGTTTTTGATTCCCCCCTACTCAACCCTGGCCTTAGAAGTACCAACTTCTTCACTCTCTGTTTTGTTTTCAGTTCCCCCTACCCTGTCTTGGCCAGAGAAGTAACAGCCTCTTCACTCTCACTGTTTTTTACATAGTCCTGGCCTATAGAGGAAAAATGTTTAAAAACTGTTTTGTTTACAGTTCACCCTACCCTGTCCTGGCCTAAAAAGTACCATCCTCTTCACTCTCTCTGTTTTGTTTACAGTTCACCCTATCCTGTCCTAGCCTGACAACTGACAAGTTCCAACTTCTTCACTCTGTTTTGTTACCCCTGGTCAGAGATAGGGTTATGCCAAAATGGTCGATCAAATTTTTACATAGGAATATATAGTCTGTCTGTCTGTAAACAATTTTTAAAATGCTACTCTCCTTTTTGATCTGATTTCAATATAACTTGGCATATAAGTAGACTACACTAAGATACATAATTCTGTGTATTGGATTTTGATTTCGACGAACGGTGTTGACGTTGTTACTAAAAATAGAAATTTCTGTGAAATTCTTTCAAAATGCTACTCCTCCTACAGTTTTGGTCTGATTTCAATATAACTTGGCACACAAGTAGACTACACTAAGATACATAATTCTGTGTATCGGTTTTTGGACGAATATATTGGCGTTGTTAAAAAATCTGTGAAAGTCAAAAATGCTACTCCTCCTACAGTTTTGGTCTGATTTCACTTGGCACACAAAAGACTACACTAAGATACATAATTCTGTACATCGGTTTTTGATTTCGACGAACGGTGTTGGCGTTGTTACTAAAAATAGAAATTTCTGTGAAATTCTTTCAAAATGCTACTCCTCCTACAGTTTTGGGATTTCAATATAACTTGGCACACAAGTAGACTACACTAAGATACAAATTTTTATATTGGATTTTGATATAGACGAATTGTTTTTTAAAAATAGAAATTTCTTGAAATTCTTTCAAAATGCTACTGGGCCTTCAGTTTTGAAAGATTTCAATATAACTTGGCAAACAAGCCTCACTAAGGTACATAATTCTTTATATCCGTTTTTGACTTCAATGAACATTATTACCTTGGTTAATAAAGATAGCAATTTCTGTTACTCTCAAAATGTTTTACAGTTTTAGTCTGATATATAATATAATGTGGCTTGCAAGTAACCACTAAGAACATAAAGAAACTTATTCAAGGAATCATTATTCTCTTTTTGTTGTGTAAAGTTTCTTCCCAACTGCTTGTACTTTCCTCTTCCTTTGCTATAAGTACAAATGGCCGATAAAAGTTTTAAATAGGAATATATAGGGAAACCTTTTAAAATCTTCTTTTGGCAAGTACTTCAAAGTCTGTTTTGTTTTATTTAGCCCTGTCCTGGCCAGAATCATCCCCTTCACTCCTCTGTTTTGTAGAGTTCCCCCTAGTTTGGCCTAAGAAGTACCAACCTCTTCACTCCTCTGTTTTGTTTTCAGTTCCCCCAGCCCTGTCCTGGCCTCCCAGCCTCTTCACCCTCAGTTAACACAGCCATCATTAAGAAACTGAAATCTTGGCTTCTGGAGTGGAAACAGTGTCTGGACAAAGAGGCAAAGAAAGCCAAACTGATGATGATGAAAGAGAAAAAGAAGAACAAAACATTGAATGAGGAGGGTAAGTTTTAATATTAATTTTTTTTTAATAAATTTTTTCCCCTATAAATTAGGGTTAGTATGGCTTGTTTTGCATTGTATTTTTTCAAATTCTAGTAAAATTGGGTTAGCATATTCAAGAAATAAAAATGGTGTCTTAAGTGTTGGGAATTACAATGATTTGGCCAATTGACTCATCCTGATTGTTGTTTTTTTTCAGTGTTAAAGTATTGATTCTTCCATCAACTGTAACTGCATATAAAAATATGAAATAAAATTTTCTAAATTTAAATGAATTTTGAAAATGATGTTAGAAGCTCATTGTTTCAGTTATATTTTCAGAGGAGGAAGAGGAGTGGTGGACGGATGATGCCAGTGATTTTGATATGGACAGTGACTCAGATGAGGAGGAGAGGCTCTGTAATACTGCCATGCTCACCGGTCCCCTTGGGGTGGGGAAAACGGCCACCGTCTACGCTCTAGCACAGGAACTTGGTTTTAAGGTTGGTATTTAACCAGAAATGAATCATTTACAGTGCATCCATATAAGGTTGTATTGAATCAATTACAATTTTACCATACAAAGTGATTCTACTCCAATATATGTGATACTGAATAAAATGCATGAATAATCTAATAACTGAAAAGTTGCTATGAATGATTAGGTGTTTGAGGTGAATGCATCATCCAGCAGAAATGGGAAGAGAATCCTGGCTCAGCTACAGGAAGCCACACAGTCTCAGCAGGTCTCCAAACACCAGTTCAGTGGAGCAGGCACACCCAAAAAACTCAAGAATGGTATGTACATACACTGTACATTTAATTTATATGTCACACTACGTGTACATGTATTTTGATTTTTGAGGCATTGGAGACAATTGAGGGTTTTTATAAGCTTATGCATTTTATGTAACTTTTGTTTATGAAATGGAACATTCATGCTATACGTAACATATAAAACATGCTATATAAAACATTATATTCATGAAATCACATGCACTTTATATCATGTTTATTATCTTAAAAGATATTCCTTATACATTTCACACATCATGTGCATGAATTTTCTGATTTTCCAATTTCCAGCATCAAATGCGGTTACGTCTTCTAAACAAAAACCAACAGTGTTCACCAATTTGTTCAAGAAAGCAGCAACACCTAATTGTGTCACCCCCATGGAGGAAAAGGGCAAACCAGGCAGGAAAAAGCGGAAAAGAGACGAGGACACAGACAAGGATTACAGGGCAGAGAAGGAACAGAAGAGGAGGAAGAAGGGAGAAGACAGCATGAAGACAGCTCCTCAAGAAAAGAAGAAGAGTCTCAATCTCTCCTGTACATCACTTATCCTGTTTGATGAGGTATTTTATAGTAGCACTTATAGTTCTATTTATTACGCAAGGTACAAATAAATGTATTTTATAATTTTTGTTTTTACAAAACCCTTAATATTTGAGTAATACATGTATACTGTAGAAGTACTTTTTTCCGCGTGGTATAAATTTAATGTAACGATACAAACTTTCCGCGAAAATTTTTAAGCGTACTTTGTATAAATGTAAGGCATAAGATGACATGAAATCCGCATAATTATCGTTTTAAAGAAAAAGAAATTGAGATTCAGGATTATGAAAAAAAGTACGTCTACAGTATTTTGACTAACTTGTTTAGTTTTTATTCAGCAATTCATGAAAGTTGAAGTATTAAAGAAATGATCAGGATTATGAAGTTCTATATATGTATATCAAATCAGGGGCTAATTATTCAATATACAAATTTTACCTACATCCATATCAATATGAAGTTTTAAATGAGGTATAGTAATTGGAATACATTCTTGTTAATTTCCACTGAAAGTGCAATTTCACATTGAAGGTTGACTTGGTATTTGAAGCTTTTGACAAGGGCTTTTGGGCAGCAGTGAAGAATTTTATGGACACCACAAAAATCCCTATCATTCTCACCAGCAATGATGTCTCTTTACCACAGAAGTTTGAAGGCAGATTCGAACATTACAAGTTCAAAGTTCCCCCAATTGTAAGATCTAAGGACATTTTTTCTCAACTTCATTATTTTTTCTGAACATGAATCATTGATGTTATAAATACAACTTGTTCTCCCAACGAAGCATTGTTATGCACTGAAAAAAAAGAGATACATGTGCACACTGTATAAATTTTACACTGATTTTACAGACATATAGAGAGTTTTACAGAGATTGTCTCATTATTTTCCTAGGTTCCTACTTCCTGCTACTTGAGACTGGTGGCTTTGGTGGAGAACTTTAGGATGGACTGGGATGAAATTGTCAACCTTGTTTCCATTTTCAATTGTGACCTCCGTCGAGTGTTACTGACCTTGCAGTTTTGGCTTAGTTCTGGAGGAGGTCATAAGATCAAGAGGTCAATCAAAGATATTGAGCCTGAAAAACCCCAGCAAGCTCTTCCAATCGCTCCAGTTATTGAAGAAAATTCCTGTTCCCAGGATGCCTTTGTAGCATTAAGAAGTGAAAAAGGAACTGGTTTGAACCAGCTTGTTGATGATGAAGATGATGATTTTGTGTCCATAAAACCAGTAGCATGTAAAAAGAAGCAGGTGATTTGTGATGATGAGGGGTCTAATCTTACTCCTCCTGTTGCTGATAGAGTCCTGATGGATGCTCAGAAATGTCCTGCTGTGAATACTTCCTGTCTAGAGAGCATGCTGGGACTGCCTATAAAAAATGAAGCTGGCATTCTTGGATTTCTTACCAAAACTCTTCAGGTATACAAGATAAGTCTGCAAAGAAAATCATTGATATATTTTATTATTGCTATGATCAAGAACAAATAATTGATTGTAATAAATATTCATAAACTGTTAATGTATTATATTTAGCTGATTTCTGTCAAACAGTCTACTGCTAAAAAGAATACATCTTGAAATATAACAGGCTTACAGAAATATTAAAATCCTAATTAATTAAAAGTTTTAATTAAAAAATCTTGGTTTTACATTTCAATAAACTAAATTCTTTGTAATGATGTAAGTGAGAAACTTATGGTGCTCTTCTATGTCCTAGGAAGGTGGCAGCAAGAATGAAGAGCTGGCCATCCAAGCTGGTCAACAGTACCTGAAGCTTAAAGTGGATCTGCTGTATGGCCACCATCTAGATATGTTACCTCTACACAAGGTCACAGTGGAGAATCTGGGGCCTATAAAACAGGCTGCCTCTCCCCTCAAAACCAGAAGGAGGCGAATCAGGATCACCTCAGATCTTTACGACAGTGAGGGGTCAGACAGCGAGTCTACAAACGTCACAGAGAAAACTCCTGTTGTTGAAGAGTCCAGCAAACAAAGCGAGACAAACTCAAAGGAGCTCAGGGGGTCTTTGAGTGAGTTTGCTCAATTCTATGACAGCTTATCATTTACGGACATGCTGCGGTATCAAGAGGAGAGGATCATAGGAAATCAGGAAAGTGAGTGTGGAATGACTGAGGAACCACGGTTACACGAACATTCGGAGTTCTGGATGGAGGACCATACAAGTACTGTGTGCTCCACCATCGAGTGGAAAGGTTTCAGTAAGCTCCACCATAGACTGAAGGAAATAACCTCAAGTCTTCCAGACCAAGAAGATGAGAGATTTAAGATTCCTGTTCTTAATGGTAGAAGTTCTACTCTAACTCATGGATTAGCTAGTCCAGATGACAGGTATGCCACATTTTTAAAAACATTTTTAATATGTGAAAATTTTTATGGAAATGAAAGAAGAATATCTTATTAATCTTTTCAAAAATTTCTGCTGTAAATTATCATCATGATTACGTTGATTAATTTATATTTATTTATTTTTGTGCAGATCTCGGAACTCGATTAAAAAGGCTTATGGAAATGTATTGTCCAGTCTGCCTTTATCAGTACAGGGCCACAAGTCTGTTGTCATGTCTGATTATCTCCCCTACCTGAGATCTATAACCAGGGATGAGCAGATTAGACAGGCAGCTAAAATCAAGAGAAGGTATGCTTTTCTGAGAACTTGGGGCACTAAGTAACACCCCCTCCTATTTTATCAACCAATATGTAGATCAGTCGTGCTGTTATGTTTTCCTTCTTTGTCTGGTGTCTGTAATGAACATAACCTTTAAATCTGTGTATAATAAGTTCTTTTTTCGAAATTGCTGTTGAAATCTTTGCAATTACAATTGTATATAGAATTCTTTGTAGTGTACAGCTGTATATAGAATTCTTAACAGTATACAGCTGTACATGTAAATAGAATTCTTAGAGATTAGGATTTGCATGAGAGATGTCCATCAAGGCTCATCATCTTGTTGTTTGTTCATGTTACTTCAACTTATTTTCTTAAGCTGAAAATATTTCATCTTTTACTGCTTTGTTCTGATTGAGATAATTTTTTGTAGGTTCCACCATTATTTTGATCAGATAGGACTTCCTCTAAAGGACCAGACCCTGGATGTTTTGAGACTGCCTCTGCCTTGGAATAGCTGATTTAAATACTGTGATGATAGGGATTTTAAAATTTCTGTATATTTTATCTATGTAAGTCCATGTAGTTCCTATGTGCAAGTTCTTAATACATTTACAGTGCAGTATAAAATACGGGTGACAAAAACTTGGAAACATTGACTGTCATTCTAAATGAATTTGGTTAGAAAGGAACATTTTTATGTGGAATTGTCAGAATTGGGTACTAAAAATGATTTATGTAATGATTCTACAGTGGTTTCTAATTATTGTAATATACCCTTTTATGTAGGAATGATTATGTAGATAATTTATTAAATTATGTATAAAAAAGACATTGTTAATATTACAAGTATTATAAATGTGAAGCATGTCTGCAATGAAGTGTTTTATCATATCATTAAAATCAAACTCTAAAAGAGTGCAAGATTTTGTTTGTGTGTGTTAACAAAATTAAGTGCTTATTAGCTCACCTGAGCCGAAGGCTCAAGTGAACTTTTCTGATCAAAATTTGTCTGTCGTCGTCGTAAGCTTTTCACATTTTTATCTTCTTCTCAAGAACCACTGGGCCAATTTCAACCAAACTTGCTACAAAGTATCCTTGGGTAAAGGGGATGCAAGTTTGTTCAAATGAAGGGCCATGCCCTTTTCTAAGAGGAGATAATTATGAATTGGAGAAAAATTAATGGCATTTTTAAAAAATCTTCTCAAGAACCACTGGGCCAGGAAAGATGAAACTCATGTGGAATCATCATCAGGTAGTGTAGATTCAAATTTGTTCAAATCATGACCCACAGGTGTAGGGGTGGGGCCAAAATGGCTGACCAAAGTTTTACATAGGAATATATAGGGAAACCTTTTAAAATCTTCTTTTCAAGTACTTCAAATCCATGATTAGTGATATTTATATGGAATCATCCTCAGGTAGTGTAGATTCTAGTTTGTTTTTGTGTGTGTAAACAAAATGTGCTCAGGTGAGCGCTGTGGCCCCTGGGCCTCTTGTTAAAAACTACAATACTCTGTCATTCTTGGACTTTTAGTAAGCCTTGGCATTCTTGGCGCTACGTAATTTCGCATCTGTCATGACATATAGATCCTCATTGTCTAAGAAATGAATAAAATCAGGAACTTTAAATTGTTGGTGACATCGATGAGACGCTTTACTGAAAGCCCAAGGATAACTGTGAATTATACTGTTTGGAGAAGCAAGGTCAGTAAGTTCTATAGACAGATATTGTTCAAATCATGGCCCCTCTACCAAATCTGGATCTGTGATAGGATGTAAAAGTTTTTGAACATACACATGTATTGATATACATCTGTCACCTTGTATATCAATCTATCTGCCTGTCCTTGCAAACTTCTCCAGGGTATAATTTTGCTATTGAGAAACACTGAAAGCTCCTAACTGGTACATGTAAAGTTTAAGATTGAAATTTGATACCTTTGGTAACTATGTTTAGCACTTTTGGAACATTTTTTGGCACCCAACTATGACAACGGGGGAGACATTCTTTCAGTAAAGTCTGAAACAAAATGGAAGACTGAACATGGCTGAGGCTTATGTAGCAGCTGGAGTAGCTAAAGCCTCCAGAAGACTAATATGGCAGACACAGATATAACGTTCCTCCGTTTAACAGTCGTGTACAGCTTTAAATGATTAAGTAATGTTCGTCACTCTTCAGTTCACTGGTCAAATGATATTGATTTTATAGTATTACAATTTTCCAAAAGAAATCAATTTGTAAATTAAATGCACACAATTTAAGCATTCAGGGATTTTCAGGGAAAGAATTTTTTTATTATAGAAATAAATAAAAAGGTTAGAGTTATCTATCCTTTAGCAATTTAATGGACCTTCAGGCCAGTAACAATTTGTACAAGATAAAAAAAAACTTTTTCATTTTTTTATTTGCCACTTGCTAACACTGTGGTGAAAAACTCTCATTCCATAATCTTCATATAATCTATATTGAGAGAACACCATCATAGACTAGAAAGTCAAGCTGTTGATCACATATTCACTCCTGAATTAATGTTAAAATAGTTAAGCATCTTCATGTTTACATTCCATCATCATTAAAGTTACAATCAGACAATGAAGTCGATAAATTTAATGAACATGTTTATAATAAATACATTTTAAGTTCTGAAAATTCATACATGCAATGAAGAGAAGAAGAGAGAAATATGTGGTAAAAATTCATGAAAATAAAATCCTTACCCATAACATTCACCTGTTAAATTAAATTTAACTAATGCTTAACAAAACAATTCATGAATAAATATCTGTTTTTAAAGCCCATTTACAATATGGTGCAGGAAAAATGATGCATCCAAAATGTAATGTTCAATTAATCTTTCCAAGAATCTGACATCAATACATATACACTGTATACTTGTATAGCATCACAACATTCGCATGAAGATTGGGTATGTATTCATTTTATGGCATTAGATGTCAACTGATTAGTACTTAGAGTATCTATTTGCGATTGTTTTTGTTAATTTGGCAGATAGAAGGGCCAGTCTAGGTATCAGGTTTTGCCCTTGGAACGTTACTATGGGCCATATCACAGAGAATCCATAATAATCCATAATAAAACAGAATCTTCATCACATCATATCACCAGGGGTCCACCATAATCCATATACCTCACAGTCTATCAATAATATCAGATGTTCCTATTCTGGAAACTTCTTGATATTTGGGTTTTCTTCTCTGCTGCAGATGGTTTCGACAATATTTGTATTTATGAAGTTATGTCCATTTCAGCAGACTCCATTTCGTATTTTGTGTTTATGAAGACAGTTTGTTTAGCTCAACAAGTTCCGAATTTCTTTGTGTATGTGACATAAGAAGTCTACATAAGAAGCACTTCCACTATGTCCTTTGTCTTCTACCAGGAAGTGGTTAAACCATGGCTCCAACTTGTCCCGCTGTCGAACAATTGTTAACTGCCAAGAAATCATAAGTGTGTATTAAAAAATTGCAATTTTTTATAAACAGAATAATAAACTACTGACACAAGCTTTAATAAAAATTCACTTGTTTCTTACCTTCATATATCTACCCCGTTCACTTCGTATTGAATTAATTACGTCCCGTACTTTCTGTGACACAGGGTTATCGAGGTCAATCAATTTACACTGAAACAGAGAAGAAAGATATTTTTTGTTATAAAATAAATTGTGAAAAAGTAGAACACACTTAAAGCTGAACACTACTCATAAATAGGCACCGTCACAAAGGTATATGAACCCTTCGATTTCGTTACATGCATATGCACACTTGAAACTCATGGCTGACATGTAGCATTCCTTACATGGTTTTAAATTGCATGGTTTATTCTTTGTTTTTATGTGAACTTTCTGTTTGTACATAATGAACTGACTTGTACATTTCATGTTACTGGCTTTGAAAAAGTGCATAAAATTTGATAGTTTCATTGTGTGTGAGTAACATGTCAACGAACGAAGTATGGCTACATGTATACTCATCAGACCTCTACAGCAAAAGACCTTAAACTTTTAAGAGGTCTTTGGCTTTATATATAGGGGTTGTAGGGGATAGTGGTGGTGAATGGGAAATATGGTGGACAATCTCTTTTAGTAGTGTTCAGCTTTAAGGACCATCTCTACATTTCCAAACTCGACAAAACCACAAATACTGTAGTCAATTTAAAATAAGTCAACAATACAAAATATAAATAAAATAGTGGTCAGTGTGGCAAAATTTTGACCAATCCAAAAATTAATCATACCATTCTCTGTAAAACATTACAAACTAAAATCGACAAAAAATTTCCAGATTTACAGTATATAAAGCCAAAGACCTTTTAAAAGTTTAAGGTGTTTTTAGCTTTCAAAATTTTGCAAATGACCACTATTTTATTTATATTTTCGTATTGTTGACTTATTTTGTGGAATTCTATTTTTGGGATTCCAATCATGCTCAAAAATTTGCTAAAAATCTCTTCTTCAAATTCAAAAATTTTAAATACTTTAGACAAAACAGTGTAATGGTAACTGACCATGGGATAGGGGTGGTGAATGGGAAATTGTGTGGACGATGCCTTTTACATAGCATTCAGTTTATGCAGGGTAACATCTCTACATTTTCAAACTCTTACAAAACCACAAATAGTATTCAGTTAAACGTTGGACAAATACCTAATTACACAATGTAATCTGGGCAGCACTTTGTACAAAAAACTGCTGTACCCATGTGGCTCTACATTGTGACCAATTCATTTCAGGAACAAATTACCATTCTGTAAAAGATTACAGATTAAACATGTGCTTACTTTTCTTCAGCATTTTCTATTAATTACATGACCTACAAACATAAGCTGAATGATTGCTTGTACCATACCTAGGAGATACACCCCATTATCTCGGAGTCTTTCTGCAGAACATCTGATGGATTGTGGAATTCTATCTCCATGGGATTCCAAGTCATGCTACAAAATTCCAGAAGTTAGAGCATATAAAATCTCTTACTTCAAATTCAAAACATGATTTAAATACTAGTATAGACAAAACAGTGTAATAATAACTGACCATGGGTATCAGCCTTGGGTAGAAGAACACTTGTGTTGAGGCAACATCCATAGCATTCAGTTTATGCATAAGGTAACTTCTGTCATCGGTAGATATTTCAGACCCTTAAAAAACAGAGATAGAAGCTTATAGGATGCACAAATACCTAATTACACAAGTACGTCGAAACAAAAAACTGCTGTATGCACATGTAGTTCCAGTTTCTACCATTTCATTTCAGTAAAAATTATTGCGTACCTCAAAGTACAGATTTTGTGATATTTTTCATTCAGCATTTTCTATTAATTACATGTAGAACACAACTTTGATATAAACATGTACTCACTTACAGTGACCTAACAGTGATATCCACTTATCAAATCTTTGTACTAAACACCAGTCTCCGTACTTACCACCTTGCAGAGCGTCGCTTTTAATAACACAGTTGGCATACAGAGGGAGAAGCTTCATGGACTCGGGCAGAATCAGCTGACCTACAGACGACGGGGAGGCACAGTTCTTCCTGTAACACGCCAAAATCTGCGCCACCTGGTTCATCACTCCCTCTCTCACCTGCTTGGGGTTAGAGTTCAGGCCCGTTTTGACAGCTGTAGTGAAAAAGTAATCAACTTTATCTACTGTATACCTAAAAGCAACTGCTTGTATAGTTTCAAACTTATTTATAAGTATGTGCATTCAAAATTAATCATGATGTAGTTTTCAAAAGTTGGTATGCAAAGGATATTCAAACATGAACAGCATGAGTATTCTGTGAACAGCACTGCTGCCTAAAACAGTAAGAGAATTCAAACAGTGTACAGCCTGTTTGGCCATGTAATTGATGAATTCAAACAGTGAACAGCACTGCAACCTAAAACAGTACAGTGTTCCAGTGAACAGCACTGCAGCCATTTGAGTACAGCAGTTCAGAGACAAGTTGTGTATCCTTAATCTCCTCTGTCCCCCCACACTGGTAAACAGTACTGCAACCTAATACAGTACAGAGAATTCAAACAGTGAACAGCACTGCAACCTAATACAGTACAGAGAATTCAAACAGTGAACAGCACTGCTGCCTAAAACAGTACAGAGAATTCAAACAGTGAACAGCACTGCAACCTAAAACAGTACAGAGAATTCAAACAGTGAACAGCACTGCAACCTAAAACAGTACAGAGAATTCAAACAGTGAACAGCACTGCTGCCTAAAACAGTACAGAGAATTCAAACAGTGAACAGCACTGCAACCTAAAACAGTACAGAGAATTCAAACAGTGAACAGCACTGCAACCTAAAACAGTACAGAGAATTCAAACAGTGAACAGCACTGCAACCTAAAACAGTACAGAGAATTCAAACAGTGAACAGCACTGCAACCTAAAACAGTACAGAGAATTCAAACAGTGAACAGCACTGCAACCTAAAACAGTACAGAGAATTCAAACAGTGAACAGCACTGCTGCCTAAAACAGTACAGAGAATTCAAACAGTGAACAGCACTGCAACCTAAAACAGTACAGAGAATTCAAACAGTGAACAGCACTGCAACCTAAAACAGTACAGAGAATTCAAACAATGAACAGCATTGCTGCCTAAAACACGACCAAGATTTCAAACAATTAAACTGTTTATTTAGTCACCTAAATATCAATAACGAGTTTTCTGAATTGTTGTTTACCTGAATATAAGCACCATCAGCTTCATTTAATTTATCATCATGTTTAATCTCAACATTAAGAGCTTGTTCTTTGTCTATAGCTGCCAGTTCAACATCTGTTGTGTTAGACATGTAGAAATTGCCCAGGAAGTCCACAGCCCGAATACCTGTAAAAAAAGCCACCCAAAAAAGTATTGATAAGAACATATGTTAAAAGTCATCCCTCGAGAAGAAGGCACAAAAATGACCATAAATAACACCTGTCAATATTTCTTGTTAAGTGACCAGTGTCCAGACCTACCTGTACTGGCTCTGACACGAAGAATGGCATCAAAGGCTGTCTGGTTCTTTACATTATGCTTCAGATCTTCCAGGAAACGGTCTCCATCCAAGTCAGCCTATAAAACAGAGTCATTCTCATCAATGCAAAACTATGAACACATTTATAAACTGTGTATCTCACCAGCAATACAGAATCACAAAGGATAGGTTAGATTAAAATGACTGGCACACCCAACCCTAAGGTGAAGAACATATACTATAACATTGAGTAGGTCATTGAGGATATCAATACAAACACACACACATGGTGAAATCTGCTTCACATTTACAACTTACTCTGTCCTCCTCAACCTATGAATGTAAAATAGGACTACATTGTTTTCTGTAAAATCAGTTTTAACATGTACATGTTTGTTTAAAGGTGCATGTATCAAACAAATCCCATAACATGTCAAACCCACTGCAGATTATATACTTTATATCTTTCCTACAAGCTTTTTGATGCGGATTGGATTCAAAGGTAAAACTGGGTAATTTGTACACACCTGAAAGTAGCTGTATTTGTATATATTTCCTCCTGTGAGACGACACACTTCTGATATTGTTGCAATATCGATGTATGCATTGGGGAACAAGAACAAGTCCACACTACAACCTGCAGTGACACACTCCTGGCCTAATTTAGTGTAGAAGTTGCTCTGAGGAGTCAGAATTGTCTACAATATAAAATACAATATAAAATGTTCCTGTTATAGATAAAATATACTGTACTTCAATTTTAACATTCACTTAAATATAACAGTATGCTTAATACATTTTTTACTTTTCAGTATTAATGTATTTCTTACCTTTTCTTTCTCAGTTCCTAGCAGTTTCCTGTCATCCCTATTCTTTAATTTTCCTGGAGCCTCAGCTATTGGCAGAGAAGTATGAAATATGTAAAGTTTTCCACTGCGGTCGGCAGACTTTAAAGCATCTAGGCCGGCCTGAATGACTGGCCCTAACACAGTTTCTGTCTCCCGAGACTCCGCGAACATCTGAGGGATCTGTGATAATAGACTGTCAATGACTGCCTCGGATTCTGAAAGTTTCACAAGAAATCCATCCAACAGTGGCACAAACACATCATCCAAGTCCGATACAACCAACATCTGGGGCTGGGCCAAGTTACCCTGGAAAACAAAATCAAAGACACTGACACTACTGTACAATTTTATTGTTCTAAGGTATTCAGAATTAGTTTTTTTTAACAGCATGTTAGATGGAAATAAGTGACATACCTTCACATTATAGAAATGAATTTCTTTAGCATATGTTACAAATCCAACTCGGATTTCTGACTCATCCTGTCCAACTTCTCTGCAGAATAAATGAACATTAATTAAATTGTATTGCGTGCTATGAAAGTGCAGCCAATCTAAGCCAAAGGTTGCATTACGGTAACAAACAGAGAGAAGTTAAAACAGTGAATACTTACTTTGGTAGATTTACTAAGACATCATCTTTTAATCTCTCACAAATCAAATGTACTAATCCACTTTTTATACTGTTATAGGACACATCAATCATAAAGATAAAGGCTGGTGCATTTGGCAATGTTCCATTCTGAAAAATCATGTTTACATTACATGTATATCATATATTTCCATTTCAATACAGCAAGTCATATGCGACATTTCACAGCTTAAACTCATGTTAATTTTTCAAGTCTGTACCTTACCTTACAGTAATCTTTAGTAGCTACAAATTCATAGGAACCTAAACACAGTTCTGGTCTGTCATAACTATCTATCCTTCTTCCTGTGTGATCTAGATGTGCAAAATACTCTGCTGGCACTACAAATAAAATAAACATATTTAACAAATAGTCAATAAAATAGCTCTCAACTTGAGACATTGATTCCCCTGAAAGCAGAGCCCCCCATTCACCTTATTCCATTATTTAAATGGGAAATTACCAAATTCTGCCTGCTTATTAATTTTCTTGAGCACCTCAGAAAATTGCTCAGTTCTCCATTTGTAAAAAATGTGAAGACAACATTGTTTATCCCCAACCCACACCCCTAAAATGAAGAAGTCTCACCATCTGTAGCTGCTCCACAGAACACACACTGGAACCTCCGTCCTCCGTCAATAAACATCATGTTGGGATTCATGTAGGCTTTACATCTCTTACACCTGACTGGCCCTACCTCCCCGAGATTGACAATCGGGGGATTCAGCTGAAAAGATCAAATTCATTTTACTGTTCATTGCGATTTAATGCTATCTTACCGAGTCACAAAAGATGTTACATTTAACTTGTCATTATTTACAGCTGATAAAATACCTCTTCTTCAGGGAGTTTAGCAAATGGATTGATGCTCAGAGAAAATGGTACATGACAGTTCTTCAACATATCTGAGGTGCAAGGAACGTTGTACATTGTACTCCTCATAAAACGAGGGTTGCAATTTCCTTGAAAAAAAAATAAAAATTAAAACAATTGAAAAAGCATTCTATTATTATTAAACAAATTTTTATTCTTTGGTACATAATTTAGCTCACATCTAATGTTAAAAGTAGCTAGTGATAATTAATCTTCACGACTTTAAGAGTTTTATTTTCTAAACATATCAAGTTTCCATGTAAACTCCACATTATGTGCAAAGACGATGAAAATTGTTTTCATTCCCGTGTGTGTCTGTGTATAGATAAAGTTCCCCATTTCATTACATTTTGTATCCATACTGCATTCAAACCTTACCTTGATCCTGTACAGTAAAATTAGTGGTAACTGATGGTGGTACTGCCCCTTTAGCAGTTTGGAAAACCCCACTCCTATTGGCTCTGTCATCTTCTATCACTTGAATCTGTTAATCAGAGAAAATATTTAAGAGCATTTTTACACCTACTATATACATGTATTATCCTTATCACCATGGTTCTATTACCTGTGACCACAGGTCAATAATAACTGTTTACTTACTGGACTAGGCATCTGGTCAGGGTCCAGTTTTTTAGGTCCAGATGGCTGCTGCATTCCCCCTGGTCCTGGCATGGGTTGAGCTCCTGGGTAGTTGGGTGGGAAGGACTGCCCTGGCATGGTTCCCCCTGGATATCGCGGCTGACCTCCTGGCTGAGGTGGCATCTGACCGGGCTGAGGAGGGAACTGACCGGGTCCAGAACCTCCATACTGATTTGAAGGAGGAAACCCACCAGGTCCTGGGGCAGGAGGAAATGAACCAGGACCAGGCTGAGACATTGTGCCTGGACCAGAAGGAGGTCCACTTGGTGGACCGGGTCCAAATCTGTCTGTCATGGACATTCCAGAAGGGGGTCCTGAGGGTGGGCCTGATGGTCCACCTGGCCTAGAATGTGGAGGCATACCACCCATTGAAGATGAAACTGGGGGCATTCCAGGTGTTGTAGGTGGTGGCCCAGCCATTCCTCCAGGTCGACTTCCTGGGGGACCTGATAAACCTCCCAGTTGTCCTGTGGGTGGAGCCCCTCCATACTGACTTGTGGGTGGTGCCCCTCCATACTGACTTGTGGGTGGCACCCCTCCATACTGACTTGTGGGTGGAGCACTACCATATTGACTTGTGGGTGGAGTGCTACCATATTGACTTGTGGGTGGTGCCCCTCCATACTGACTTATGGGTGGAGCACCTCCATAATGGCTTGTGGGAGGACCCCCACCATACATGCTTGTGGGAGGGCCCCCACTGTACTGGCTTGTGGGTGGACCTCCTAACTGGCCTTGAGCAGGTCCTCCAATTTGGCTCATTGGTGGGCGTGCTGTGCCACCCATTGGACCGGGTGGTGGTAACCCAGAACCACCTTGGGCATTAGGGCCTCCAGGTGGTGGCATCATACGTGGCTGTCCTGATGTTGAGGGAGCACCATAGTTTTGCTGAAGAGAATTAGAATCAGAATTAGAAAATTTTATTTAGAGTCAGATTTTTACAAACAGTAACATAAGCTCTGTAGAGCTTTTGACCGACATAAAAAATTAGATAAGTGTTTAAAGGTAATGAGCAAATTAAAGATTTTTGAAAGAAGGACAAATTCTATAGGTGAAGATTTTTTTAAATTTTTAAATAAAATGAGTAAAACTTAAAGTTCAAGGTCAAGGAGTCAAAACTGCTGGAACCCCAAAAAAGTTTTTTATCAACAGGAATATGTACAGATAACTCTCGATACCTCGAAGTCCACGGGACCGAGGAAAAACTTCGAAAGATCAAGAGTTCGAGTTTTCAAGAGTCCGGAATTTTCCAGGTTTGTTTGGCAGGTTTTAAAATTAGTCTAACGGGATGTAATGATTTTCATGCAGTGCTAACTTTTAACACGTGGTTTTTATAAAACAGTGATCTGATTTCGTATTTTAGATGAATATTTATTAATCTGAGTAAAGCTAAAAATGTACAGCGTCATTTTCTGTTTATTTTTTATTCTTTATAATACGGACATCATACTACACATTCGTTATATGAAAACGACATTTTACAGTGCAGCGTGGTTCATAGCATTGTGATTTTTCCAAACACGTGCATTAAACAAAGTTCTGTAAGTATTTGTCCAACAATAGTCGTCATAATGACACTGAGGCTGTTTCTGGATTTTCATATTTCGTTAAACTTTGACACTGACTTGAAATAAAAACTAAATTTACTAAGTGTTTCATCTTGTAATTTGCAATTACAATTATTCAGTTACACTGCGTTTCTACATTATCGTAATACAGTCGATGATAATTTTTTCAATAGCATATAAGCAACATAAGATTAATTATAAATCAATTATCACCTTGCAGTATAAGTATCACCTAAATAAACATCCCGTTTCACGAGACCCAAGTCTTCTGCCTGGGGCCATTAAATGTCCAGGTAAAGTTGCTAATTATGTAACTTGTATACACATAGCCACTTCGAGGTATCGAGGGTAAATTTCAATAGAATATGCATAGCGGGACTGCATTTTGACTTCGAGGGATCAAGGGTTTCTAGAGTTCAGGAGTTTGAGAAATCAAGAGTAAATTTGCTTAGTTATATAGGGGAAAAAATCAGGACCGGAGACTCACTTCGAGCGATCAAGAACTTTGAGAGATCGAAGTTCGAGCCATCAAGAGTTACCTGTATCTGAAATATAAGCCTCACTCCAACAATTTGAAATTTCTGGCCAGGGTAAAAATAATTTGGCAGAAAAATGGACAAAGAGGCCAATTTTCTACATGAACATGAAAATATACACTAAGTGGATAAAGACGTATTTTATATGTTCTGTAAATTTTACTTACATTTGGACCAGAAGCCCTTGGCTGGGATATATGCATTGCATTCAAACCATTTGAAATCTGGAGAACAGAAATATATCAGATTAAACAACAATCACTGACATCACATATAAAATCTTCAAGCCTACATACATGTATAATAAGGCATAAATACTAAATTACAGTCATGATTCATCACTGAATGTGCTAATTTTATAAGAGCTGTTCTAGTTTTATCTACCCTACCCCAACGAAACAAATTGATTTTTTAAGCTTTACTTGACCTTCAGGCAAGTGAACTCAAATTTTAACTTGTCAAATGTACACTCACACTGCCACAGAGCAATCACTTTTCATTTTCTCAAGAATAAAATTCATATTTTGAAAGAAACTTATGTAAATTTTGACATTCATAGATGAAGGTGAAAGAAAGGTAACATTTTAGGAAGACAGGTGCTACAAAACCACAAAAGAAAACAGAAAAAGAACCTGATTTTTTAATGAACAGTATAATCTAGAAATGCAACTAAGGGATTGATCATTCCAAATGCAGAAACAATTAAAGTAATGTTCCAGAAAGAAATCAAGTGTTTAATATATCGTTGTTTTTTTTACAAACTAATGTACAAAAGGCAAGATAACAATATATACACTTGCACAATATGGACAAGTACCAAAGTTCCCGAAACTAGTCAAAAATATGTCGGACAATTGTCCTGTAAATATTCAAAATTCACCAGACAGTTGTAAAATTTACCGGACATTAATTTTTTGTATGTAAATTTAACATATGATAGGTTTGGAAATTGTGTCGATATAATAAATAATATACGTAAATGAAAAGATGGCAAATGCAGATTTTTTTTTTTAGATTTATTAAAATATTTTCTATTAGGCCTGTGTATGCCCCATTTGACGTCGCCGACGGTGTGTTATGACCAACGCTTAATTCAACGTATTAAATTATATCATTTCTGACAAATTTTTTATTTTTTTAAATAAAATCTGCAACATAACAACTTTTGGTTGATTGTTTGGAATTATTCCGAAATATCTGTCGTTTTCCAGGCTTTTTTTTTTATTTTTTAGGATTTTGGTATTTTAATTTATGTGCCAGGAAAAATACTACTTAGAACATGTAGAATATCAAAATCGTTTTAAAAAGCCAGGAAAACGTCAGATATTTCTGACTAGTTAAAATGTATCATACAACCTCCACATAGTTAAAAATATGTACTAATGATATAAAAATATGCAAGTTTATCATGAAAAATGATGATTTTAAGTGAATTTGTAGTCGTTTTATTACATTAAAGTCAGTCCGCTATTTTTAGAAAAGGGGAAAAACGCGCATGTATTTTAAATGCTATCAAATACATGGAGAAAAATCCAAAAGTTGGTTTAATTTGAATCATGCTAATAGATTAAATTATAGAGAAAATAATAAATGGTAACAAATTGTCTGTAATCAAGCAGAAATACAACCCTGCAAATTCATCCTGCAAAACGAAAGTAAATTGTCACATTTTTTTTACTGTAAGAACTACAGAGTGCGCATATTTATTAAGAAGGAAAAATATTTGTAAGACAGTGTTTTAACTGTTTTTCCTCCCAGACTTATGGAGATTATTTTAATATGTAGCTTTTTATAGTAGACAATCACCGTTTACATTTAATTTAAACAAGAATGCACGAGAATAATCTGGCGCGCCCCTGACGTTTTTTTTTTTTATTTCATTTGGTTTTGCATTTGTTTATTGTCGGGACAATTGAATTAAATGATTTTGTTAAGATTATGTGTAATTGTTATACAGTCTGTAAAGAAAACCATCGGACATTTTGACCGATAAAATTAAGATTCACCAGTCCCATTCAAAGTTTACCGGGGATCCCCGGTGGACCGGTGCGTTTCGGGAACTCTGAAGTACACTGACAATTTCACTTGCCCAAACTGAGAATTTACTTGACAACTGTTAACATCAATCCCTGTACTCCAAGAAACCAGAAATTTCACATGGGACTACATGTAGAAATATTTTTTTTTGAAAAAGGGACCATGCATATGTGAAGGTATGTAGCCCGAGAGTGTGCTTGATAATGTTAAAAAAGAAAATGATCTGCCTGGACAAGGATAATCAGATAAACACCTCACCTTTTTAATCTCTTTGTAATGTATCTGGACCTACCTGACTTGATGATGGAGGTCTCTGTGAAGGGGGCATGCCCGGACCCATACTGTTTTGCATACTTGTAGTAGGTCTTTGGAAGTTATTCATATCTGGTGGTTTACCAGGAATATTCCTGAAACATTGAAAATTACAAATAAAGCAAGAGCTCACTTCTCTCAGATAATAAAAATAGATCATTGGTTAAACTCCTCTGATTGTATATATGAAAAAGAAACGTTTCCAATTGAAGGAAAATAATTGTCATTTTACCCTGGCTGACTCATGTTTGGATACTGGGGCCCATTAGATGTAGGTGGTGCCATATATTGTCCCGGCCCTGGCTTTGGTGGACCACCATAACCTGTAAAATATAATAAAAAATCACTAAAAAAAATAAGTGAAAGAAAGTATGACTGGATTGCAAAGTCTGCACCCTTTGAATAATTAATAGAATTAGCTCTGGATATATGGTATATATGACTTCCTTCATTCCACTTTTTAACATCGGACTATCTCTCACCTCCTGGACTATTCATGGGACCGGGACCTGGGGGTCTCATTTGTCCTCCTGGGTTCATACCAGGTGCCCCATACCCTGTAGGAGGCATCTGTCCTTGTGTACTTCCCGGGTAGTTAGGATTCATTGTGTCATTTTCTAAGTAGCTATTCTGAAATTTGAGAAAGTATAAGAACTCCATTCCAATAAAATAATAACACTATCTATAAATTTCGGGACATATCAAAACACACTGTCACTGAACTTACCACATTATGGGGATCTGATATCATACCAATAAAGAGTATATAAATATTACCAACACTTATATAATGAAGTATCTTACTGTGCTTATTGGTACATCTTAATTTTGAAAATTACAATAAACATATGCCCTTTACTTTTTTCTGCAAGTCACTATATGCATAATCACAAACACATTGACAATACCAATCAGGCAATCACACACATATATTGTTATAGACCTTATACACAGCTAACTTATAACCATACAAATCGCTTTACATACTATTTCCACTGAAATAAAAATTCAACAGTTCTTTCATAAGAATACTGACTTTCATATTGATGAATGTGCAGTATATGTCATTGGAAAATACCGGTGTGAACTACGAAATTACATTAAACATTGACTTCTTTACCTGATTACATGTACCTGTTTTCAAGAATCTGCCTTGTGTTTAAATGTTTTCAGTAATATCACTCCAGGAGTACAATATATTACAGTTTTAACACGAGTCAAAACATACGAAGTGTTTGCCACGTACTGAAGAATGACATCCGGTGGAACACATGCGCAATCATGCCACGTAAATTGTTGTTGCATTATGGGAGAAACCTGTCGCTTCCGTAAACAAATAATATCAAATTAGACTCCAAAGAAAAAAAAAACACTGAAAAAATATTGTTTGCGGGGATAAAAAGGGATTTCAAATGAAACACGGAACAACATAGAATCAGATTTGGTATTTTATGAAGTGTCTTATTCAGAATTTCCACTGAATTTTATAATCTAGGTGAAATAATGCAATGGAGACTGACAGTTCTGAATGACTACCTCATTATTGTTAACGGTTTCAACCTTTTGGGGTATTTTATAGTTTTAGTTCATTTCATGCTAGCAGATCCAACTACATATAAATTTCCGGTCATAATTTGGTGGTGGAAAAACGTATATCCTCATGAAGATTTAACGTCTTTAAAATATATAAGCTGTGGGGGTTATCGTGGCTGCTTGTCAACTGCAGATAGGTTTTATCTGGATGACTCAAGGACTAAAGGAATAATATTCTACGGTACGAGGGTTAATCCTCGTGATCTCCCTATACCTCGGAAATCCTGGCATACATGGAACTTGATTCACGAGGAATCTCCTATGAATAATTATCTGTTATCACAAGAGGAATTCATTGCACTCTTTAACTTTACTGCAACATTTAGAAGGGAATCAGATTATCCTTTAACAACCCAGAACATTTATTCTTTGAAGTATTTAACAGAAAGAACACCAATATCTACCAGAGAGAAAAACAGGAAAATACGAGAAAGTGGTTATGCCCCTGTCTTATATGTTCAGTCACATGCAGACGTTGCGTCTGACAGAGATGCCTATGTTGAGGAGTTGATGAGATATATAAAAATTGATTCATTTGGAAAATGTCTTCACAACAAAGATCTCCCAAAATCACTGAGAGACGCTATGACTTCTTATGAGGATGATCAATTCATGGATTTCATTTCATTCTATAAATTTCACATTGCTTTTGAAAATTCTATTTGTAGAGATTACATGACCGAGAAATTATTTCGAGCTCTTCATGTGGGCTCTGTCCCTGTATATATGGGATCACCTGATGTTCAAGATTGGATGCCTGATAATAAAAGCGTCATTTTGGCAAGTGATTTTGATTCTCCGGAAGAATTAGCAAAGTATCTGGAGTATTTGAATAAAAACGACGAAGAGTACAACAAGTATTTAGAATATAAATCACCAGGGGGAATTAAAAATTCCGTTCTAAAAGATCATTTACAACACCGCAGTTGGAGCACACACCCATCAGGATCAACTGAAAGTGATGATCTGAATATGTTTGAGGGCTTTGAATGTTTTGTGTGTAGAAAATTACATGAAGTGTTCGGAAATGAAGACAATTTTGCGAAGGTGGCTTTCTCACACATAGCTAACAATTCACATATGGGATGTCCAGAACCAAGAAAATATTCACTGTCAACATTGAATTCCAGTAGTGGGTAAAAATGATTCATTTATCTTCAATGTTTTAGATATATACCTCATGTCGTTTATTACACCTAAATAAATCTAATGTCTGTCATATTATATAAATCGAATCCTTAAAGTTTTTGTTTTAATTTAGGTCAACTGACTTCCACTGGACTAAGGTGTATAACCAAGAGAAAATTACTGCCATGGAAACTCGGAGAATAGTGGAGTCTGGGGAGAAATATTCTAGTGCATTATATAAATTAAACATTTGACTTCATATACCATTAAAAAAAATCCCAACACATCAACGAACAAAAGTAAAATAAAAAGACCTTTTCAAAACTTGCTAAAGATGTATTTGATGTATCTGGGGTTTTTTTCATAACCAGTATAGCATCCTCGCAATATGCCAGGGATTCTGGGTCAACACGTTGTCGTTCCCCGGCAACGTGTTGACTCAGGACCCGGGACGGCAATGTGTTGACTCAGCACCATTGACATTGCGAAGATGAACCGAAGGATAATTAAGATTGAGAATACTATTAAAAAATGGTACAAACAACTCCGATTTTTAGGACGAAGCTAATCTCGACAGAGATTCGGTTCGGCTAGATGCTTTCGACGAATCTCAATGAAGGCGTCAGTCCAAATGTCTCGCCTAGCCGAATCTCGGAATCTGCTGAGATAATGACGCGAACAATTTCTAGACATAGCAGAATCGGCGAGAAAGATTCCCTGCATTTTGCACAGGTCCATTTTTCGATAAAAGGAAATGGGTAAAAAATACGAGGGGTGCAGCTAGGATCAAAAAGTTCGCAAACTATCTCTATATCTACAAAACCACAATTCAGATTAGAATGAAATTCGGTACACACATAGCCATACACAAGGTCTATAAATAGCATATGCTGAATTAAGCTTCTCTCCTTGTTTGTGACGTCACAATGTGAAAAATGACGTCATTATTTAGGTCACTTGTGACGAAAAATGGTTGTCTCAGTCGAACTCGTTCACCAAACGACTGTACAATTCATTGTAATATCTTAGAAATCCCTCTACAGTATCATATAATAATTTGTACACAGTTTATTGAGATAAATGAGTTCCTATAAATTCAATTAATAATTGGATTAATCGTTTTAGTGAAGGAAGGCTGATGGTTAAAAATGATACTTGTCATCTTCGACTTGCCCAGTGAAAGCAAGTTTGAAAAGATATGTATTTTTAATTAAGCAATTTGCTATCAAAGACCTCCAATTAGCACTTTGAAAAAATAGTTGAATATTTGAACAATGATATAAGTATTAAATACCTAAGATATCGTTTACTTTAGGTTTTAAACATATTAGATATGATAATTAAAAAGGGTGCACCCATTCTCTATCCACCTTGAATAAAGGTCTCTCCTGAGACAGAAGATTTGTGTTTTAATGGTCGCCATGCTTATTTTTGGAAAGGATGTTATTATCCACCCATTCTGTTGCCGAGATATGACCATTTTTGACAAATTAACTGTTCTTGTCATAAAAATTAACTCACATGGAAAGAAATATAAAACTCGGAAAACTCTTTCAACTTTTGTGACAGAACGCTACGGAGGGGGTCACGTGACCGCCAATATCACGTGATTCGCGCATGCGCAGAACGGTGGTTGATGTGCATTAAAATCGGGGAGGATTAATTTAAAATATAATCAACATTAAAACCAAATATTGTTTCTTGTATGGAAGTTATTCAATTAGTTTGCGAACTTTTTGATCACCCCTTGTAAAATATCAACTTTATCAAAATTTTCTTTGATAGTTCATCTCACGTAAATACTTGATGCAAAATTTCTAGAATTTACAAAAATCTCACAAAGACTGAAATTATTTGCCTATGAAATAGCATGTACACACACTAAAAGAGACAAAGGGATCATTTCATCATGCTGTAAGGAAACAAACTTTTTCAACATGATTTTTTTTAAAAGATAATTCTTAAAATTTGCATAAAAATGTACACTTTTTGGTTTACAAAAACATGGAGCAAGGACCTACTATGCCTTAAAAGTACACTTTTATGACAAAATATTGACATCTGCGTCTTTTTGAGAAATTCTTGAAGTCCATAAGTCAAGGGTGATACATGTGTATCATACCATATCATTTTTGATAAAAGAATAATTTTTCCGATTTTTTTCTCAGTTTTGTTTATAAATCACAATTTCATAAAATTCAATAATGAGAATTTTATTTATACACTGTATACCTTATTCACAAATTGAATATGTTTTTTTTAAATACGAGTCTGAAGCTATAGACATTCTGCACTGACGCCTTGCTCATCTATCTTCTTTGGTTAGTTCCTTAAATGAAACTGAAAAAATATGAGACCCGTAGTCCTGACAATCTTGTCTGAAAATAGAAATGCTTTTTATAAGAGAAATAAAAGAAAAGAGATATGTTCTAGAATGAAAAAAAAGTCTTTAGTCGGGCTATTTTTATAGTTAGTCGGTCGGGAGAGGGCCATCGTCGCAAACCACGGCCAAAATGTACGATCCTCTCCCATTCTGGAGAAATGGAGAGAACTATATATGCGGACTCCGGACCGTGGCTTGAGACGATGGGAGAGGGCAAACAAACATTTTTTTAAAAGATAACCTTATTATCATTCTCAGTCATAAAGTTCAAACCGGCTTGCATTCCACCATATTTTAAGTATAGGCGCTTGGGTCAAAAAATCCAGTTAGGACATCTATTTGGGGAGGGGGTCAGCGTAAGTGTTCTACATCCTCTTGGTGCCAAGCTTCAATTTTAAGCAAAGTTAACCTTATAGTGATTAGAATTGGAAATACTGTATGAACAATTTGATATGCTTCCTGCAGATGGGACTTGTAACAATATCGAATTTCATTGTTAGGCTCGGTACATCTCGAAATCGAACTTATACACACAGTTTACCCTCAGGCTGATTTTTTCTTCATAATCATATTTCAGGGCTTATTAATATAACATTTGACATTTCATTGTTTTTTTGAGGTCAGTCGGCCATACATCTATTCACCGAACCCGAAGGGCGAGGTGAATATTGTACGAACTAAATCATACACACAATAATTGTTTTATTATATGATTCACTGATATTAAATAATACAGCTCATTACTTGTTTGCATTTGATTAAGTCCTAGCCAAATACAAGACAGAAGCAGAATTAAAATGTGAATAAACCTTACCAGTCGTATCAGTTTTAGTTGCCATGAAAAAAATATAATGTCAGTCTTTTTTATAGGATAGATTTTGAAAGGATTTGGAAAAAATGACTAAAAAGTTTTTAAAAAAATTGTTCAGTAAAAGTGTGATTCCAAACCCTAAAATATATATTCTTTATGTTTTGTTCACATGAAAAAAAAATCACAGTCGTTTAAATAGCTTTCCGAAACAATTTGTATCAATTTGGAATTTCCCAATCTATTTTTAGATCAATGTAGAGGATATAAATCCTTGTATTGACCTGCAGGTCAATACAACGTAGTATTTTTCTAACATATAGTTGGATCTCAGCCAATCAGAGAGATGGAAATTATTCAATCATATAATAATAAAAATTAACCAAGGTGATTCCAAAATCTACCCTTCTTATCCTGGATTCCTTGGCATGTATTTATTACTACCATTGGCATGTAATAAAAAAAAATATTATAACTGCTGAAAGGAGAAAAATCGCCAAATTTTCCAAAAGTCAGTGACAGAAAAACATCGACACGTCTACACTCCATATATACAACCTCTCCTTAATTACAAAAAAAGAATTCTTAAAAAATTAAACTTTTTGATGTCATAGACTGCATGCTATTTCAATTATAACGGAATTGGAAATTTTCGTATATATCATATGATTGGTCATCAATAAAATTACTCTGATTACACACCAAAATCCGCCATATAGTTGGTATAAAAAGTTGCTGAAATTCTTTAATTATTGACAACATTTATGTAGTCTTTGTAAACCAGGTCTCTATTCCAACAAACTTTTGGAATAGCGATGGGCACTAATTGTGTTCCTTTATTAGCCGATCTGTTTTTATATTCCTATAAAGAAGAGTTTATTATTCAAAAACTTAATCTACATGAGAAGAATTAAGAAAGCACCTGCAGTGGCCTTCAATGCAAATATTTTCGATATGATATATCCCAGTGAACTTGAAATAAAATACACCACAATGTCTGTCACAAGTTTCATATTTGCATGAATGAGTTGCACTAATTAATGTTCGTTGTTAAACACACGTATTGTTCAGAACATCAAAGCTTAGAGGGCTTCTGCTAATAAAAACAAAATACATGTATATGAACTTCAACATAAAAAGCTACGTACTTTAGCCCCGTTTTAAAAGAAATTGGAATTTAGTGTTAAAGAAATCGCGTTAACAGACCAACTCGATCAACTCCTCCAAAACCTCCTAGCTTCCTCTAAATTTACCTAAAGCTTAAGCTGCTTTTCTAAAATTCTTTGGATAATTAATTAGTTATTTTCAAGCAATGTTCTAATTTTAATAACCTATGTTCAATGGTTAAAACGTCTGGGCCATATAAAAAATACTGGAATAGCAATATCTGCCTAAGAGTTGTCTTTCTGTTTATGTATACATGTACCTAGTTACCGTTCTTAGTAGATGGCGCTGTGTCTGTTTTGACGTCAGATAATGATGGCCTTGACAGTCGACCACAGGTATATTATGTAGACAGGTGAAAAAGATGAGTCTTTTGACACTTTCTGAATGTTTTGTGTTACCTGACAACAAAAGATAAATGGTTTGTATGGTAAGCACACTTATGATATATGAAATTGTAGTATTTTTTCATACTTTAGTCTTTAGTGAACAAAATTGACATAAAAGAAATGATGTTGCATTGTTTGTATCCAGAAGTGTTTTTCATTGTAATGGTGTGGTTGATGTTTACACTTGAAGCAAGTTGTACAATGGGTAGTGTGTATTTATATATTTATATATTAATTCTCATTATCTGTGTTTTTGTAGAGCTAGTAATCGATCTACTGTAGAGATCGACAAACATTGATAGTTTTTTATTTGGCCCAAAGAGATGATAATTTATCGTTTTTACGTGATGTGCCCATTAACTAAACATTTTTGTAAGTGTTACAAAGATTATACTATACACAAGCTGGCTTAAATCCAGTAAAACCACTATACATATGACTGCTTGAATTGCACAGTTCAGTATTCTAGCTGCCAAATATTTATGAACGAATGACGACAGCCTTATTTACTTGTATATTTTAACTCATTGAATTGCAGAAGTCTGTAGAACATCAAATTTTTGATAATAACAATAAACCTCACTCTGGTTTGTGTAATATGGCCCTTTGACTTGTTCTGACTGTATATTTTAATAAAAACGACATACTCAATAAACGATGTTGGTGAGTACAAAAAATATTGTACAATTGATAATTTGATTGTGAGTTTGATAATTTTCTGTTCACAAATATCCAAAATCCACCTGAGAATGCAGCGTCCAATTGGAGGCATCGAATTTCCAGTTTTCATAATGGCGTCAATCGGTCATTAAACGAAGTTTTTTGTGGCATGTAAAATATCAAAATTGTAAAAAAAAAAAAATGCCAGATATTTTGGACTATTAGGATGACTGTACAAATGTAGTTATGATTTAAATTCCTATTAATAGCAATTAATCAACGGTTTCTATTGTAATATAATCAGGTCATTGAGTTTATGGCATTTCTTTTAGTCAGACTTGGGCATCCATTCTTCACCCACTGGTCTCCATGCACATATATATATGGACACATTGTTACTCTCTCCTATAAAAACCTAGCTGTCATCTGTGAATATCTTTTTATCCCAGTCTTCGACTCTCAGCAATCTCTTAAATATATGTCACAATACTGTACATACACTGTAGCTTGATAGCTTAACACTTGAAATAGCTTGTTAGCTATTATAATGCAAATTTTAACAGATTTTCTATTTAAAAAAATAAGACAATAAATTGCAATCATGTGAGTGCTAACTTATTTACTATTAGGGGTGGGACGATATACCGATACACCGATACATATCGATATTTTCCTCCAAGATACGGTTTTCGATACAAGCATTCAAATATCGGTACGAAACGATACATGAAAGCCCTATCCAAAAATTGAAAATGAAAGTACCTGTCCTTGGAAAATGGCGGCTTGTACGAGCGAAGAGATGATGTTGATATTGAAATCTCACTTTAGAACTAATAGGTCGTTGGTTAGGGGTAAAATGTTTTCACTTTTAAGCAGCCTCGGAAGATTGGTCGAAAGATTGGACAAGAAAAGTTCAGTATGTAATGCGTGCTATACACAGAAAATATCGTTTCCAGAATATTTGATATTAATATGTTTTACGGTGTGACCGTTGGGGCGAGCGCAGTTTATTTACTATCATAAACCTACACATGTACTGTCTATCATTCACACACCAAAAGAAAGCAAAAAGAATAAAACAAAACAATAAAAAGAAATCATTTCCCAAGCATCGGGATCGAGATATACATTGTACTTCCTCTGGCTTTCCGACGAATCTCAAAATACCCGAAGGGTTATATAGTGACAAACATATATATGACGTAAACCACATAAAAAGTCCTGTTGACTTTGGATTAAAACGCAAACGATAGTTTTATGGCATGGAGATTGCATTAAATCGTTCCTTTCAAGTAAGTTGTTGCTGTGTTTTAGCCACCATGTTGCTATGCACCGCAACATGGTTTCCGAGTTTCACGGAAGCAACCGACATAACTTCGTCAAAATTCGTAAGTTTCCGGTGATGTCATTTGTATCATTTCCGAAGGGCAAGGTGAAGGCCGGTGTTGTGGCATGGGGGTATTTTTTTAAGGCAAAATCATTTCGTTAAGATTTCGGTAAGAAACAATGTTCCTTTAATTTTTTTTTACTATTTTTGATTTATTCGCGCAAAGGACATTGGGTAGTGCAGGAATTCTGGGAATGTTGCACAGAGAAATTTAGCTGACGTATGTACAGATTTCAATCCGAATTTCCTCTGTTCATACACTTTAGTCTATTGAGCTCGCTGCGCTCGCTATTAATTGTTGGTCCATCTTGTACTTTTTTTTGTAATCTCAACTTGGCTACAGACTTTCAGCAATGAATTAATAAAAATGTAAATGTGATCGATGTTTTTTAAATGAATTTTTTGTCAGTGTTCTCTGATAAACTGTAACACAACTATTTGTAAACTTCTGAATAGTAATTTGGTTATAATAGTATGTACATGTATTATTGTTTTTGTAAAGTTTTAGTCAATTAAATTGATGAACTTCAAGTATTAATTTCAAAGCAAACATGACATGATATAGAATAATTTGTTGATTTAATTAATGTCAAGACAAAAAGAAAAGAAATAAAATACTAATTTTTTTGAATAGTTTTATAATTTCTCATAATATCGAGATACGTATTATTCTCATAAACAATATATCAAATACGTATCAATCGCATGATGTGTGTATCGTCCCACCCCTATTTACTATGGACTGGTAAGAAAGTAACTTTGAGTAAAGATATTTTGAGCATGTTGAGCATTGCAGGTGCTTTTGACAAAAGGAAAGGTGTAATTTCTAAAGAGTAACTATATATCACCTTGTGTGTGTGTGTGTGTGTGTGCATCTGGGCTAGACACTTTAAGTCAGGGGTTTCTGATCCGCTACTCTCCCCATAAACCCGTGGCCTATGGTGCTATCAAAACTCAGGATTGTATACATCACATGTTCTCTGATTTTACCACATTGCACCATTGACAAATATGTGTTGTTGTTAAATTGTGATTTTTGTTCCAGAGAATAATGAGCAGATATATTTGAAGTCAGATGGGTCATACATTGTATATTTAAATTTATTATACAGTGTTTCTCATTTCATTTACTGATGAATTATTGGGGTAAAGCTGCAGAATGGTGATGTGTTTTGGTCAAACTGCAAGTGTCTAAGCCAGTTCCAGGTAGCCCAAAGTAGTCAAAACATGTCTTATAATATACTAACTCAGATGATTATTAAGGCCCATGGTCCTTTTGTTTTAAAGATGGTATAGTATATGATAAAAATTGGGATTGAGTATCACACACACCAAAAGAATATGCATGTGTAAATAAAAATCATGTCACTGTTGATTTTATTTTCTATCAAGATTAGCCAGCAAAGAATTACGTATGATATCATGGATGCCATGTATATACATTGTACATTTTACCTCTGGCTTCGTAGCTAATCTCAATATGTCATTCTAAGTACACTGGTGAAAGATATATAATGTATCAAGCACATATATATGGTAAACCACATAAAATGTGGAACACAAGCGTGAAGCTTGAAATAATTTATTAAAACCACAAATCAGTAGAGATATTAATAATTAATATATGTGAATCTTTATGTAATGTATTCTTACATAGTACTTTATTGTTATCTTCCTGAAAAGGCAAAAAAAAAATAGTTTTAGGTTGTTTTCTGATATTTTATATAATGAATGTAGGAGATGCTCTTACACATCTATGAACTTCAAAGCAATGTTGCATAAATTAATGCACTTTCCTAACTGTTTGATTTTGTATCTGAACATTAACAAATAGAAATACATGAATAATTTTAATCTTCATTAAATCAGGTATCGTCGACAAGATATTGCATTACTAGAAAAATTCAAAAATGGAAAAAAACAAAAATAATGAAGAAAAATTAAATAAAAGGCACATCATGCTACCCTGAATAAGTATTTTAACAAATGGTAGTCATTTTTAATTTCTTTCTTGGCTGAAAGAATACAGTGAACAGTCATGGTACATATAAATATAAATATCTTCTTTTATTGATTTGTAAACTCATTTAATGGCCTAAAGAAGCCTAAACATTACACCATGTAATTCTGCTGGGAATATAGTCTATTGATCAAAAAGATATATCTTTTTTGCGTGCTGCAGTCAGTTAAATAAACCATAGCTCTATTATACTGTTCAGCTACATTATCCAGATTTATGCTGTGTTTTACAAAATCTTGTTGCCAACACTACATATATGTACATATATGTACAAAGATTTGCCAAAATTTGAAGAAAGTGTAAATGAAACTTGGTTATTGGGAAAATGGCATGTAAAGTATTCCTGAAAGTGAAAGATTTTATAACGACCTAATCTTTATGTATTTCTGAAAGTGATAGTTACCTACAAATTTTGTTCTCCTTGTCTATTCTCTAATTTCTTGGTGGAAAGTTGAATTATTTTGGGTGGATTATCTTAACTTAAAGGAAAATTAGACAATCTTTTAGTGGTTCTCTGAATTTGATTTTTTAAAAGATTTTTTAAAGTTAAAATATGACATTAAACATGTTAAATATTGTAAAGGGAATACCAAAATAACTACCCCCTTTTCACAGAGCCCAGGGCAGTTAATAGGGATTATATGGTATAATTGAAGAAGATATTAAATTATTCTCATAAACAACAATCAAAATAATCAAAATGTGATAATTTTAGTTCACAGTCCATATTGGACCCTAAAGATACTTTTATCTTTCATGAGTTCACATTAATTTGATTTATCAATTTTTTGTTTAGTGTGAGGATGATGTAGTATATTTGGTTTAATTTGTAAAGTACCTTTAATTGAGTGCACTTTAATAAAATCCCTAATCTGTTTATATTTATTTAAAAAAGAAGATGGACTCCAATATGATAAAGAAATATTTGATGAAAATTTCTTAAAAAGAAAAGGAAAGACTCTTTTCCACGATTTTACTGAACAACCCTCATGTTTTTGTACACTAAGTTCACATTAATTTGATTACACCTGTGTGTAATGATCTTTGGAGCAAATCAAATTATGATTTAAAACTTGAAAGTAAAGTAAAATGGAATCCATGATAAGCACTTTTCATTTAAAGTTTATTTTGAGCTTCTTGTTGACACTGATCCACGGAATAGTTAAAAATCAATATGGAGATCCCCATAACCAATCAGATAAGAAGTAGGACATCCACTTGTCGGAGAGGTAAAATTCTTTATAAGAAGCATATACAAGATTTTAATTACATATATTACTAAGAATGTTGGAATAGAAAACTATATTTTTTTTTATTGCCACTCTGTGAGGTGAAATTTTACATTGTGTACTTTAAATGTTTTAAGTATTGGATTGGTGCTTTTACAGATCGATGTTTACCTTATTTTATCTTTCACTAGAGTTTAGGGGTACACATATTCAAAATTTATCAATTTTTTGTTTAGTTATGAGGAAGTAAGAAAATGCCAACCAAAGGCATTACTTGGAGGAATAGTATATTTGGTTTGATTTGTAAGTACAAAGTAATTGACTTTTTGAATTGATTTTTGATTTTGAAATAATATTATCTAGCTGTATTCATTTAGGATCATACCCTAGCTGTCCTAATGTTTAATAAAATCCCTAATCTGTTTATATTTATTAAAAAAGAAGATGGACTCCAATATGATAAAGAAATATTTGATGAAAATTTCTTAAAAAGAAAAGGAAAGACTCTTTTCCATGATTTTACTGAACAACCCTCATGTACATGCCATTTGGTCATTTAACACTAAGAATGTTAAAATCATAAGAAAAATCTTGAAAGCTAAGGAACAGAGTGATGGATTTCAATCAGTATACCGGGTCTGTACGGTCAATTTTGGGGGAGCGTGGGGTATGTGAGCAAACTTCATAAACTGCACAAGAATTTCGTAAACTTTGCAGGACACAATGTGTAGATCATTTGGCCATACCTTGAATATAGAGATGAACAGTTTGTCAGCACAACTCCTCATAAACCGCTGCACAGAATTTCATCAAACTAATTTAGGACACAATATGTAGATGTGCATATTACCAGGAAATTGCCATCAATTTTTTCCGGGACCTAAAAACTTAGGTATACCTTTTACATAGAGATGAAAAGTTTGTCCCCCCCCCCCCCCCCAATTCCGATGTAGATGTTCATATTATATAAAGATGAACCAACCCCAACCACTTTTTATGTGGATACTGAATAAATGATAGCTGGATCAGCATGCAGTCAAGTATTTATAAATGTTCAAGCATTACATATTTCAAACATACTTAATTGGCATACAATAACCAGAGTATGATAAAGATACTGTGATATACTGATATTAGTGATTTTATTTATTTATATTAATTTCATCTGTTATTATGTTTTACCATAAAAAGTATTATAGTGTTAGTCATGATTTTGTAACATATAGATTTAAAAACATTCAAATTTAGAGAACACTCTGTTTTGTTTCAGCTTTTCAAATTTTGATTATGCCTTAAGAGTGCCGATTTAATTGAATTGAGCCATGGAAATGTTTTATATATATTACGTACATGTATATTATTCAAATGCCTTCCTGAAATCAATGGTAACATATGAGAGATTTCTTTCCTCCATAATCCTGCGTAGTTCTTTTACATCGTGACGCAGAGATATTCATTAATTAAAGTAAATGTTTTGTGTATATGTGAGTAGAAGTCACAGCAATGTCATTATTCTATAATTAGTTTCATTGAGAACAAGATGCTTTCATGAAGATTCTACGTCTACCCAATGACACAATCGTCACATTTACGCAATTCCATATTTTCAGCTCCCTCTGTAAAATTAATTAAATTCTAAATTCTCATCTGCTTGTCTGAATAGAAATAAAATATTGTTAGATATAAGACATATTTTTTCAAATTTGATTTAATTAAGCATATATTTTCCAATGGACAGATGTTGAGATGACATGCACACTGGAGTAAACAGCATGCCTTTGACACAGATTGCTGTGCACCCTTCAGACAATGTACCCCCATCAGGGAAACAGACCAAAAAGCCCCAGCCTACACCAACAAAAAAGAAGGATTCCACTAAGGTTAGTCTTTCCTTTTTATTAAGAGCCTAACAACAAACTACAGGAGATGTCAACACACAGTGTTCATCTCTTTATTTAGCTCACCTGAGCCAAAGGCGTGAGAGATTTTCTGATCAAAATTTGCCCATGTTCTGTCGTTGTTGGTAGCATCATAAACTTTTCACACTTTCATTTGCTTCTCCAGAACCACTGGACCAATTTCAACCAAACTTGCCACAAAACATTCTTTGATAAAAGCTGGAAGGTTAATTTTGTGCAAATGAAGGGTCATGCCGCCTACATGGGGAGAAAATTAAGAATTAGGAAAATTTGAATTATCAAATTTTTCATAAATCTTCTCAAAACCCACTGGACCAGAAAAGTTTTAACTTTTTTTTATGCACAAATATCCTCAAGAAGTGTAGATTCAAATTTGATCAAGATACCGTTGGTTTGGAAGGGTCAGGAATTAATATCGCATATGTTGCAGAAAAACATAACCACGTCAAAAGACTTTTGAATTCCAAGAAAACGTAACTTCAAAGAAGAACAGATACACATTTAAGGTAGCACTATTTCCCCCTAGGGATTAATTATCCAGCTTACTCAGGAACATTTTTCAGAGCCAAAATTGTCTTTTAAATGTGATCTGTCAGATAACAGTAATGTCTGCTTGCAATGTTTTGTCATGAAATGTTTCTTTGTAGTAGGAAGTAAAAGTTAAATTAAATTTCGGAACATTAATACTGCTATTTTTTTTTGTACTGAGGAACATTAAAAAATTGGTTCACTTCAGACTGACTGACTTTAAGTAAATGTACATGCATATACATGTATATTAATTTTGTGCTAAAAATTCAAGTCACTCAAAAAATAATGTATGAGGATAAGATGTGATAGTTGTGAGTTTCAATTAGAGTTTATTATGAAAAAAAATAGAATATAGATAAGTTTGAGGACTAATTCTTTCTTAGTCTTGATATTAGGGCAAAATAAAAATCATTCTAATATTTTGACCCTCAATCAGCATATAGCAAAGTGCAGTGCAATTTTGAATGTTTTAATAGAGGAACTGATATCAGCTTTCTTTACCTTGTATTGTACAAACTGAACTTCTTCCTTAGATACGGTATAATATACCGGTATATAAGCCTTATTGATTTGTGCATTGTGTCTTTGCCAAAAATGCTTCATAGTTTAACTGATAACCAGAGAGTATGTGAAGACTTTCCTATTCTAAATGTTTGCTGATAAGAGGAGTCCTATATTGGGATAGAGATTTTTTTTTAATAGCATATTTTTGCCCCCCTCCTGAAATAGGTGATTAGGTCTATAGATTGGTGATGTTTGTCCACCACTGTGCATTACAATTTTATTGGTTATTGCAATTAACTTACTTTTCAGAGACATATTCATAGTACATGTATAATATGTTCCTAAATCCTTATTAGGGGTTAATATTTGGGGGGTAGGGGGAGGGGGGTTACCTAAAATAAATGCATATAGGTATGATATTGTGGGTATGACTTTCTGAAAATTTTGAACCAGTAGATTTTTGTCATCTTCAGCTGTGAACAACATAATTATCTGCAGCATTATCAGCCAATATCATTATGCTTGCCATCCTCCTTCAGGTAAAAATCTTATCATGTCTATTTCTGTTTGGAAAGTGAAAAATCTGGTCATAATGACATTCATGACATATTAACTATGAATACATCTACCGGGTATATTGTATAAATATAGTGTTCAGAAAATTATTTTTTATTGAAAAGAAGATTTTACTTTCAAAATTTAGAAATTTAAATGGTTTAAGGACATTGCATTAATATTTCATTGTTTGATAATAACCTTAATTAATTAAGTGTCTATTATTTAAAATTATGGAAGTCCTTTCAGAATTAATCAACTGTACATTGCTGCACGGTTATAAAAGAATTCAGAAGTTTGTGCTAATTAATTTGAAAGTACAGTGTATTCCAATCTTAGTTTTAAATTTATTTTTGATCTCCAGACCTCGCATTATATCTTCGATCACTTTATTTTATCTACTGAAAGTCGTTTTCCAAACGACTTTCAGTTAATCCTGTATACAGGGAAATTTTCGCCTCACTCACAGATGGGTGAATTTAAAACAGAGCAAATTCAAAGAATACAGTAGAATGTCTTTAACAAAACTGTGACTGGGCGAAATTAAAACAGGTCAAAATTGTTTTCAAGTGTGAATTGGAGAAAATAACACGGGGCAAAAGTAACCCTTAGTACAGTAATGTTCTGATTTGTCATCCCTTATATAAACCTTTGTTTTCCCTTTCTGACTAGCAGAAAGATGTTTTAAACAGCCATTTGATTCTACAAATATTTTTTTCCACTGTTGGTGCAGAAATCTCATTGGTTTTCTGAGTATACCTGAAAGTAAGATTTACCTATAATGCTGCAGACATGTTGTTCACACTTGCAGATGACAAAAATCTACCTGTTCAGAAAATTGTGGATATTAGTGATCATATGTTCCATCAGACACTGCAGGGATGGATTTAGCATATCATGATAGTTATTTCACATGAAGAGGATTTACTGAGATAAAAACAATGGGGTTTAAAAGTGCAAAGTATTATGAAACTTTTCAAAATTTTCTCTGAATCACTGTCAGTTCAGGAAAATTAAAATGGCTCTAATTCACCATTCACAGGTAAATATTTATTACAGTACATATACATGTATTTCTGTTGCCCACATAGTTTTTATCTTATAATTAAATGTCAAAGTATTAATTATTATAATCATCTTTTTAGAAAGCTAAATTATTTTGGACTAATTATGTTCACACTGACAATTAACTTTACAAACCACAAGTTGATGGTGATCTTCACTTCCCTAGATTATCATTTCTCTAAAGATGAATTTTCCTCTGGATGAAATATATGGATATAATAAACATTATTCAAGCTCAAAAGCCCATTAAACAATACAAATTTTGAAGCATAGCAAACACAGACCTCAGAGGTGGAATCAGGTGCCATGGAGGAGTAATCATCTCCTGCCAGCTGTTCAAACCTGTTGATTTCATTTTTAGCTCTAGACTAATGGTCAGAGACCAAAAAAGCTTTAAATGTGCAGTAATAAAATGTCCTTGCAGATGAAGATTCATATTTCATTCAAAGTTTTCCAATCCACTGTAAAGCACTTTTAAAAAGGATGCATATGATGATACGAAATGAGAAATTTTAGCATTTTCTCAATATTTTAGAGATATGATATTTGCATTGTTTAAAATCAAAATAAGTCAAAATATATTTATACTAATCCATACATCCAAACATTTGTTTTTATTTCATGTTCTTAATGACAGTAAGCTTTGGATAACAAATACTTGATTTCTGAATGTTGTAATTAATCTTCACAAGCAGAATATCTGTACAAAGCTTAATTTATGGTAAAAGTGCTGAAATTTATCACAGAAAAAATATTCCATATCATTTTTCACACTTGTGTGTTTCTATGTAAATGAAAAGCCAACACAAAAAATGACATTGATAGCTGTGATCAACAAAGCATTCATTTTACCTGTCAGCTGTGGTCAAGAGTTATAGCACAAATCTGCAAATGTTGGCTAGAAACTTGTATTGACTGGGTAGTTATAATTATCTCAAAGGTAGGGATTTCAGCTTTACTGTTTTTGATGAATATTTTACTTTATTTTAAATTTAAAGTTTACTTAATTTCAAATTTAAAATCACTTTTATGTTTTCAAATTATGTTTACAGTAGTATTTCAAATCACATCAATTTACACTGAATTGTGCAATATTGGATGTTATGTAAATTAAGCATTTAACTTTTCTTGAATTTTAAATATTATTAGAGAACTTTTAAAATGTTACACTATAAAGTTTCTTATGCTTGTGAACTTAAAACGAAAAGTATTAATTTTAACAATTTTGTTTTTCAAATAAGACACGACTGTCAGCTACCTTCTAGCTGTTTGTACCCTGTAATTTTTCTGCACTCTTTTGGCACAATAGTTCGATTATATACATTTTCAGAGAAAAAAATAAGTCAAATTTTAGTCTTCTTTTTGTCATGATGTGTATTACTTATTATGACAAACTAAATGTTGATAAAATTTTTCTGCAATTTCCCCAAATATTTCCAAGGGAGAATTTATCACAGCTATAGGAGTGAAAGAAAGTGGTCATTTTGTTTTGCCACTGTGTGACTGTCTGTAATTGTCACTGTTTTTGCTGTAATTGGAGTGAAATTCATGTGTCACATGATCTATAGCATCATTAAAGGTTTAAAAAAATATAAATATGACTGGGTATTTATTTACTGCTAACATTATAGGTCAAAGTTCAAGGTCAAATGGACTGTAAGACTGGAATTTTTCATGTTTTATGGCATGTGATATTACATGATGGTAAAATTTTCTGTTTGGATAACGTTTTGAGCATCATTAAAGGTTTAAAAAAATATAAATATAAGCACGTGGGTATTTATTTAATAAACATGATAAAATCATTATACAAATTCGTTGCAATGCACAAGTTCAAGCTCTTTCTTAAAAACTCTTAATTTCAATGTAACTCATGTTGCTTGTCGCGGGAAGTGTAGTGTCCTAAAACATTACGGCGGATATTTTTCATGTTTTATGGCAAAACAGTATAACGTTTCGTCCATGATATTAAATTGTAAAATAGCATAGACTTTCCATAGAATAGACTTTTACTCTATATTCTGTATATCAGCACAATGAACAATTTTTAAAAAGTAAGACAGATTCACAGATAATAAGTCAGTAACATGGTATATTACAAAAGCCAAACTGCTCAGCAATATTTATTTGCAAAATATGAAATCCATACCATTCTCAAGATATCGGGTATGAGAGACAGACAGACAGCAAGACACCTAATAAATTGATCTGTAAGTGTTGCTCTGTTTTTCAGATATTAAAACCTCCTTAAGATACTTTTGACTTTCGAAAGAATTTGAGTGTGTACATACATGAACAGATTATTTTTGTGGACAGTTATGATTGTTTGAAGCTATTTTTGGACTGTATTTTGATTGATTTAACTATTGATAATTTTGACAATGCTAGCTACATGTTTTAGTCTTACTTGGTCACTGTTTTATATATGCAGCTATTAATATGGGCAGATGGTAAGACTATGTCTACAAACATAATGAATATTCATTATGCAAACAAACTGTCTTAAAATAAATTTTATAAAAGATTCTGTTGAATTTGATTTCAGCAAAATAGACATTCTAAGCTCCATAATTTTATGATCGATCGGCAAAGGTGTCAGCCCCAATTCCAGTAAAGCAAAAAATCTCAGTTGATATTAAAAAAACTATTTTTTTTTTTTTGAGTGAATCAAACAGTACAGAGAGAGAGAGAGAGAGTAATAAAACTAAATACTCGTACATGTAGTTGCATTTACAAAGTACACCAATAATAATAAAAATTTACATGAAAAAATTTAACATTTCTAAATTTCTTTGGAAATATGATTTAAATGTATCAGCATATTATCTATTTCTGATTGAATTGTCATAAATTAATACATTCCAGTCCTCAATAAAATCTGTTTTGTACACAAATCCTTTTCTCCTAGCTTCTTTGAAGTCCTTTATTTATGAGAGTGTAAACCGTACTTACAGCTCTTGAAATTATTCTGGAACTTATTAACCTATCTTTTCTTTCTATGGGTCACACTTTCATTAAGAGATATTAAGAAGTGGTGATGGAAATATGTTATGTGATTTCTTCTTCCCTTGCCATTGATTTAGAGGACAGATTGACTTGTTTTCAAAATGTAAGGCAATCACAATAAGAAAAAAAATCACTGTTTTAAAGTTTTTTTCTTTAGAGGATATGTAATTTGAGAAATTTTGATTATCATTATGTCAGTTTAAGGCATTAGATTGCATTATATTTATTGTAAGTATAAGTACTTTGTATTTGATTCTAGTATAATTATAATATGTTGAAAAATCTTATTATAAAGTGACTTGAGGATATTAGATTTGTTTAGCTGAATAAGAGCCCTGATTAGTACACTTATTAATAACGTGTACAAACCTGATTAAAGATTTGTATAAAAACATCTTGTGACACGTTGGTACTTATTGAAAGTGGTGAACTAATTCTTACAGGAAGAATTATTAGTAAAATTTACATGGTATGATTGATCAGTGATGATTTTCATGTTGGTTTTAGGTTAATTAATCATAGCTTTTAGAATAATGTATTTTTTGTGAAAAAGGTACTTTGTAGTATTTGTCATGGTTAAACAACCACACATAATTAAGAAATTTTAGAAAGAAATTTATATAAACAAAATATCATTTGTAAGTTCTACATTTATTCTTTGCCTTGGGGACTACTCAGGCCAGCATTTTTTTATTTTTAGGTTTACAAACCCGCCGCTCGAGTTTTTGAATTTTCAGAAAAAAAAATAAAATTGAGAAAAACAGAATTTTTTCTTTCCGATGTCAAATTTGAGTCGGGATCGAGATTTCAAATTTACAAACTCGTACTTCCGGTTTCAAAATATGCATGATGGCGGGTAACGAAGGTAGATTTGTCAAGTCCATAGCAGCACTAAACCTTGGTTTAATGTAAATATTTATTATCGATAGGAGTGCCATTCAAAACGTCTCACTCATTCAGGGAACAAATAAAGTGCTGACAACTTTGTTGCACAATGACATGTTGGTGAGATAATGTATCCGTATTCAAAAGTATCTGTCATCTGTCTGTAAATTAATTTCCTCCCACGGGTTTAAAACTGCCCATGGTAGCTCTTGTCAGAGACATTGTTTAAGTTTCTGTTATAGCTTTCAGTCTTAGCATCATTCTTCAGAAAGGGGTTGCTTATGCTTCAGATGTAATGAATAAAACTATGGGAGAGATTAAGTCCATTTGAGGAAGAAATAAACAATTATAATTTTGCCTAAAGAAACAAAATATTTAAAATATTTAAAAACAAGTATATACAAAATTACAAATATATACAGGCAGGTAGTATCTTTTGTGGCAGCCAGAAAAATTATTTTACACTTAATTGAAAAAAATTCCATCCTACTCCCCAATACTCCCTTTCTGTTTTAAGAAAGGAATTATTATTTTAGGTCTCAAGTATATTTAGAACAATTTCAACACATTCATCTAATACATATTAAAAAATTATATTTAATATGAAGATATATGTATATATATATGTATATTGAAAGAGTTTAAAAAATCCATTTTTTTTTTAAATCTGTATTTTGTCCAACATCACAAGATTTATCATTTAAATCACTGGCCCCAACTGGTAAACAATTAAGGGTTCTATTTCCCCCTTTGTAACCCTTATGTGTCCAGTGGCAAGGAGCCTGTTAGGAGAGCATTAAAAAAGAAGCAAAAATTAATATAGAAAAAGTCGATAATGTATCCAAGAAAAATAATTTTTTTTTTTTTTTATTTCCTCCTCCTACGGGACTTTTTCATTCTGATGTTCGTAAACCTAAAAATAAAAAAATGCTGGCCTCAGCTATTGAACATATCATTTCAACAAATTGAAAGAAATTAAATTGTTGCTTTCTTCTTTGTAGGAAACCCACCATCTAAATTCTCCGACCCCCAAAGTCTCGGATAGATGTGAGACCAGCCTGTCCATGGTGTCCTCGGGGCAGGACTGCTGCCGCATCTGTCAGTGTGAGGTGTGCGAGATAGATGAGGACTCGCCACTCATCGCACCCTGCCTCTGTGATGGAAGCATGAAGTTTGTTCACCAGGAATGTCTTCAGAAATGGATCAAAAGCTCGGACAAGGAATGCTGCGAACTCTGCAAATACGAGTACAAAATGACTTCAAAGGTCAAACCATTCAGAAAGGTGAGTAGATCTTGTTAAAAAAAAAGAGTCAAAAATATGACCCTAAGAGAATATTTGATTTTACAATATATTAAATTTATGTTTGAAGGGAATATTAAATAGCATCCAAACTATTTATTTGGAAGAAAGGGAGCTTCGAGATTAGGAGTTGGCTGTTTTTCTGTTTGACTATGATATCTTAAGTTCTATAAAGTTACTCTTATAATAGAAAAGGTCTAAAAATTAATCACCAACTGAACAGTACTGAAAGTCCAAAAAACATATAACTGTGTAATAGATAGAAGATATTCAATTTTATGTAGTTGGATTTCACTTTTATTCAATAAATAAATCACACTCTTTCACTGTTGAAAATGAACAGATTATATTTTACAATGTTTTTTACAAAGCTGTCAGTCACAGGCATTTAATTTTTTCTGTAATAATTTTTTTCAGCTAAAGTATAATAATATCATACTATGGGTAAAAAATTATTACCAAATCAAGTGCCCGTGATGTCAATACAGTACCGGGTATATTAATTTGAGTAATAATTAAAGTTCAGGGTATCTTATCAAAAACAAAAAAAATATTAATAAACTTGTTAGCGTTGGACTTACAGGGATATTGAATTTATGATCATATAACATAAGCTTGTGATAAATATTACACATTTTATTGCTAGATAAGGCCAAACTTTTTTTATTAGTTGTTTTACGGATCCGCCGACCCCATTTTTCTAAGTTTTGGAAAAAGAATAAAAATTCCATTCCATCCTTTTTTTATAATCGCCGATCGAACTTTACTTCAAACATATTTAAAAAATCCGGAAATGACCGTACATTGTTTGAATTTTACTTAGTTGTGATCAGAATCATGTAAACGCTTCCACTATTGACCCTCTTTTAAAGAACTGCAAGCGTTTTATAGTCAGAGATGAAATAAGTATGACGGCCATGTGAAACATTTTAGGTTTTTCAGAACAGAATATAAATGTTTTAAGGACAGTAGTAAATGTTTAAATGTATGACGGTTTTTATGAGCTGATCAGGCTGGTGATTATTCTATATATGATGTTATCTGATCAGCGAATGGAGTGTGGTGGTTGAGGAAATTACAGCCAAAACCAACGAAGCTGATGTCGTCACTTGCACTCCATCCGACACCCAAATCTTTTCTTTGAGGGTTTGGCGAAGTTTTAAACAGTTATATCTAATGGTTAGTTAACAGTTCATATATTATTTATGGCATTTTTAAAAGCAAAAAATCTGCAAGACGTGTTGTCAATTGTTAAAGCGTCAGAGAAACAAAAGACTTTTTTGTCATTGTACAGGTATGAATCTATCAAATGTTTCTTAAAGTTTTAAATTTTAGATTTGGAAAAAGAACTGACTCATCAGGATGTTCTAAGACAAAAAATGTTTGTATGAGAGTCATAGGAATGTGAAACCCTATGAAGATGACTTATCATTCTAGTAAGTTTATTTGTGTCCATTGATTGTGCACTGAATTTTAGTTTTCTACTGTTTAATACTGTTTAAGAAAAGGTATTATCTGAATTTGATTAAACTTTTATTATTTTACAGGGGGTTGTGTAAAATTTGCTGAAGTGTGTTTTTCTGTGGCAATGTGGAGGTAGCAGTAAGAGGACACCCGTATCCAGTCATAGACATACACAGAAAAGTTTAGCATTGTTCACATAATATGTCTCTCTGCTCTGAGAATCGTTCTCTTTTAGTGAGGAATGCCAAGAAAGACATTACTGCGCAATGTTCTGAGGTTGATTTCCCCAACTGCTTTGATATGCTGCATATTAAAAGTTTTGAACATTTAACACTTCTTCTTCTTCTTTTTTTTTTTTTTTTTTTTTTTTTTGTAGCCACCCAATGGACATTTTCCAAAAAAAAAATCCGTAAAACAACTAATAAAAAAAAATGGCCTAAAACAAAAAAAAAAACTAATAGTTTTATGGTTTTCTAACAATACTTTATATAATATATTGCCAATCTCCTAAGCAGAGTTCATTCCTCTGACACCTCTGCAATGGGCTCGCATCAAGATTTTTGATATATTATTAAAGTAAAAAAATGATATTCAAAAAATTCAATTTGACCAAATAGTTCTAGATCTACTAAATAAATATCTACCTTAATGAATTATTATAAAGAATAAAACATGCACTATTTCTGACATGCTTATCACTGTGAGAAGCCAGCCAGTGACCGAGTTGAATGTAAGAGCCAACAATAGAGAAAGATATATTGCATGAAATTCAAAGTTGAAATGCTGTAGTTAAACAGAAAGGGTCAGTAACCGCAGAGTATACTGAAAAATCAATGTTTATTGTAATGAGATCAAAAGAGCTAAGTCATGATTCAAGATAAGTATTTTTCACTTTTCTAAAAATAAACATGTGACATTTGAGATAAAAGCAGGATAATTTTTTTTACATTGATACATAATAAACATAGTACAAAAAAGATAATATCTTCTCATTCAAAGACCTGTATTAACCTGTAGATATTGGTTTGTCTTTCTCTTATTTCTGAGATTATACCCACAATTGTAACAAACTTCTTATCTCTTCACTTAGAATCATAATGACTGAACATGACTTCAGAAAATCTTACATGGGGGGATGGTAATTGCCATATCTAACTCTAGTTTGGAAAATTGGAGAATAAATATTATTTTTTCATATGTTCATTGTCTTGATGGATCATATAACTCTTATGGAAAAAAAGTTATCTGATCACTCAATGATGTGTATGTCGATCACATATATGGCTTGGTTGTTAGAAATTTAATAGAAATTAGAAATACAGTACATTAGGCAAAAAAAATTAATAAATAGTTTCTCGGGCCAAAAAATTAAAAATTCAATGCGGCAGCAGTTTTTTTTTCTTTCTTTTTTAGCTCACCTGAGCCGAAGGCTCAAGTGAGCTTTTCTGATCACATTTTGTCCGTCGTCCATCTGTCTGTCTGTCTGTCTGTAAACTTTTCACATTTTCGACTTCTTCTTAAGAACCACTGGGCCAATTTTGACCAAACTTGGTACAAAGCATCCTTCAGTGAAGGGGAATTTAAATTGTTAAAATGAAGGGCCAAGTCCCTTCATAAGGGGAGATAATCAAGAAAAGACAAAAATAGGGTGGGGTCATTAAAAAATCTTCTTCTCAAGAACCACTGGGTCAGAAAAGCTGAAACTTATGTGAAAGCATCCTGGGGTAGTGTAGATTCTAAATTCTTAAAATCATGACCCCTGGGTGTTGGGCGGGGCCACAATGGGGAATCAAAGTTTTACATAGAAATATATAGGAAAAAATCTTTGAAAATCTTTTTCTCAAGAACCACTGGGCCAGAAAAGCTGAAACTTATGTGGAAGCATCCTGGGATATTGTAGATTCTAAATTGTTAAAATCATGACCCCTGGGGGTTGGGCGGGGCCACATTGGGGAATCAAAGTTTTACATAGAAATATATGGGAAAAATCTTTGAAAATCTTCTTCTCAAGAACCACTGGACCAGAAAAGCTGAAACTTATGTGGAAGCATCCTGGGGTAGTGTAGATTCTAAATTGTTAAAATCATGACCCCCGGGGGTAGGGCGGGGCCACAATGGGGAATCAAAGTCTAACATAGAAATATATGGGAAAAATCTTTGAAAATTTTCTACTCAAGAACCACTGGGCCAGAAAAGCTGAAACTTAAGTGGAAGCATCCTAGGGTAGTGTAGATTCTAAATTGTTAAAATCATTACCCCCGGTGGTTGGTCAGGGCCACAATGGGGAATCAAAGTTTTACAATGGGGAATCAAAGCATCCTATGGTAGTGTAGATTTCAAATTGTCTTAATTAGGCCAGCATTTTTTTATTTTTAGGTGTAGGATGTTGTCACAATTTGTATATTAATTTTTGCTTCTTTTTTAATGCTCTCCTAAAGGCTCCTTGCCACTGGACACATAAGGGTTACAAAGGGGGAAATAGAACCCTTAATTGTTTACCAGTTGGGGCCAGTGATTTAAATGATAAATCTTGTGATGTTGGACAAAATACAGATTTAAAAAAAAAATGGATTTTTTAAACTCTTTCAATATACATATATATATACATATATCTTCATATGTATTAGATGAATGTGTTGAAATTGTTCTAAATATACTTGAGACCTAAAATAATAATTCCTTTCTTAAAACAGAAAGCAATTAAGTGTAAAATAATTTTTCTGGCTGCCATACTACCTGCCTGTATATATTTGTAATTTTGTATATACCTTTAGGCAAAATTATAATTGTTTATTTTTTCAAATGTTTCTCTCCCATAGTTTTATTTTTTGAAGCATAAGGTTGCTTATATAACAGAAACTTATGTCTACAGAGCTACCATGGGCAGTTTTAAACCCGTTTAATTTACAACAGATGACAGATATTTTGAATACGGATACATTATCTCACCAACATGTCATTGTGCAACAAAGTTGTCAGCACTTTATTTGTTCAGTGAGACGTTTTGAATGGCACTCCTATCGATAATAAATATTTACATTAAACCAAGGTTTAGTGCTGCTATGGACTTGACAAATCTACCTTCGTTACCCGCCATCATGCATATTTTGAAACCGGAAGTACGAGTTTGTAAATTTGAAATCTTCATCGGAAAGAAAAAATTCTGTTTTTCTCAATTTTATTTTTTTTCTGAAAATTCAAAAACTCGAGCGGCGGGTTTGTAAACCTAAAAATAAAAAAATGCTGGCCTTATGATCAGTGGTGTAGGATGTTGTCACAATTTGTATAACAAGTGGGAAATCTGGTAAAGAACGGAATGGTCAAAGCTTCTCAGGTGAGCGATGTGGCCCATGGGCCTCTTGTTTTTTTTTTGTTTTGTTTTTTTTTTGAAGCAGCTAGGTTTTATACCTTATTTAAGCCATTTGTTCAATCAAATGATAATAACTACTAATTCTTAAATTTTGTTCTCTGAAATTAGTTATAACATGTATTCAACTTTAAATAATGTTATTCTAAACTTTCATTTAAAAGTTAATTCATTAAATATTGTAAATCTAGAAGAAATATATTGTTTTTCTAATAAAAACGTCTATCTTAGCAATTATGAAAAGGGGAATAACTCAATTTTCTTTTTCAACTTGGAAAACTAGAAAATTGAGTTATTTCCCTTTCCAGTACAATGAAATTGATCAATGCGGTCGTTTTTGAACTGATGCGGTGGTGCCTAAGAAACTATTGATTAATTTTTTTTGGCCTTACTAAATTTTTGTGACACCTTATTTGCGAGAGAGTCATTTACTCTTTATTAGCGAGACAAATTTTTAACAAATTGTGGTTATTGCTATGTATAATTTTATGTAATACTATTTTATCCAAAAATGACATTTTTGCATGATAATTTGAAAATAAAATTCTCAGGAATAAAAAATTATTTACAGTAATGTCTGAAGTTCAGTCAATTTTGTTCTGGACCTTGAAACACAAATAGATATTGAGTTATTTCCCTTATCAAAATGTCATTAAAATTTATCAATGCGGCAGTTTTTGACCTGATGCAGTGTGCCTGAGAAACTATTAATTAAATTTCTTTGGCCTAAGGCACATCGTGTAGAAGATGAGAAGTAGCAAAAAGCGATACCATATTGCTTGCATCCTTTCATATTATATCTGGAAAAAATTTCTCAAACTTGAAAAATCTGGTAAATGTGTTTTTTATTTCAGTGGGAAAGACTACAGATGTCTGCTGTAGAGAGACGCAAAATTACCTGTTCTGTGACATTCCATGTGATAGCCATTACCTGTGTCATCTGGTCACTGTACGTCCTGATAGACCGGACAACAGAGGAGGTCGAACAGGGGGCTCTAGACTGGCCCTTCTGGACCAAACTTATTGTAGTGGCCATCGGCTTCACGGGAGGCCTGGTTTTTATGTACGTTCAGTGCAAAATGTATGTAAGACTCTGTCGTAGATGGAAAGCATACAACCGAATGATCACAGTTGAAAATGTCCCTGACGAGGTTAGAATCAAAGCCATCGCTACCTATACGTCACCAGAGAAGGCTAAGATAGCCGAGGAAGAAAGGGAGGGTGGCATTATTAACGAGAGTCTGACCACGGATTCTGAACTGTTGTAGTGTCCCCTGTTATCCAATTAAATATGAGGAACTTCTTTTTTTTTTATTAGATTGTGTTTCTTAAATAATTATTCTCTCTTATCCATTTCTGTTAAACATTCCACTTAAAGAGCATATACTGTAATCTCATACAAAAATAGATTCTGCACCTCCCATACAGTTTGATGTCTTATAATTTGGATGTTACATTAATTTTGCTAATTCAGAATATAAATGAATATTATGAGAGACTTCAAAACTTTTTTTTTTTATTTCTGCAAATATTCCTTGACTCATGAAGTTTTATTTCTTGGATTTGATACATTGTTATTTATTTTGTCAATTATTTTTATCAAAGGTGAAATGTACAGAACAAATGTGATATAATTTAGTGCTTGTATGGTAATTCTTTTATAAAAAATAGTATAAGCTTTTTTTCCAATTCTTATTTCAGTGATTTGCCATGACGAAAGGTTTTTGTTTACATATCATAAAGAGATGGTTCTCTTGTGATTTGTGCTTTTCATTTCCAACATATCAGAATGGGTTTTTTTTCTTTGCATGCTTACTCTGTGCCAAATGTTTTGAATGTAGAAAAGTCATACTCGTTGTTTAATGTTTTTGTGTGAAGTTTTACATAGTTTATATTAATTGTCTTAATTTTATGTTTTATAGAAATAGTAATTTATTGTAAACTCTATATTATTTGCGGTTAATTTATCTTGTGAGTTTTTCTGATATTTATTTTTCGAGTGTCTGGATATTGACTTATTTTTCAAAATTCTAAACACAGTCGTCTTTCAGAATTCAAATGAAATGCCAACTGTTGCTTTTTATTAACAGAATATTAGAATGTAACTATTTTATATAAATAATATGTGAAAAATTTAAAAAGTTTTCAATAAATACAGAGTCAGAAAAGACAAACAGTTGAAAGGTTAATTCATTATATAGATCTAGCATAGATTTAAATCATATTGTGCTTTGAATGGGGACGCAGTAATTGTTTTACATAATAATTATTCATGAAATGTGTGGGAAATTTTTTTTTAAATCTTAAGAACAACTTGACCACCATAAATCAAATAAATGTTGTCATCTCAGATTAATATAGAGACATTTTCATGTTGTGTATTTTAACTTTTGTTGTGGGTATGACTAGTTGTAGGCTAGCTACCAGAACAGCATGCCACAGTTAGTCTAATTACAGGCTACAAAGTTAGAAATTCTGGCAGAAAATCAGCCAAGCCTCCAATATATGTCCAAGTTTGTCGAGTTGAAGCTTGGATGATAGATATAAACCTAACTTAGATGGACCTTGTGGCCTATATCCCTGTTTTTTGTTGCATGTAAAATGTTGAAAAAGTGTGTAAATGTATACTTATTCCTCTACTTTTGCTGTAAGTGAAATAATGCAATGTTATTTACTCCTACTGAGTAAGAAATGAGATAATGTAATGAAGGGCAAGTTTGCTTGAACTTTTGAATTTTTTTTTCAATTCATCAGTACAAATATTTCATGAATTTAAAGTTAAATTTGGTGCTAAAACCATGATCATTTTCTAAATCAAGAATTCATGCTTCTGTTTTATTTCCTTCTTTCATCATTATCGATTATACAGGATAGAAATTGTTTGTTATCATGCAAGTCCCATTTTGTAACATTTGATCTTCATAAAGTACAGTGTATAATATTGTTACTGACTGCTAGTCCTGGACAGAGTACTCTGTCTAATATTCTGAGTGATTAAATCCATGGTGTCCTCTCTGTGTATATATATATATATATAGAGAGAGAGAGAGAGAGAGAGATTACACAGTGTCTAAATATATATATATATATATATATATATATATATATATATATATATATATATATATAAATCGCTTCAGATTAGAAATATTTCCCTGTTTAGAAATCCATATCAAGATGTGCTTTTTAAGTGATGGTTAGTTGACTTTTACTAAGCATGCTTAATATGGAGATGTTTGCATCTTTTGTTTACCACAAATTTATTTCAAATGGCATTTATTTATTAATTTTTCGTATGCAAATTTCCTTTTCAATGAGCTGTCCAAATGTATTTATAGAGTTAAAAATTCAAATATAACAATATAATCTTGTGATTTTTAGCTCTACTGGTCAGAGACCAGAAGAGCTTATGCGATATACAAACAATTTTTCAAAATGCTACTCCTCCTACAGTTTTGATCTGATTTCAATATAACTTGGCACACAAGTAGACTACACTAAGATACACAATTCTGTGTATCGGTTTTTGATTTCGTTGAACGGTGTTGCCGTGGTTACTAAAAATAGAAATTTCTGTGAAATTCTTTCAAAATGCTACTCCTCCTACAGTTTTGGTCTGATTTCAATATAACTTGGCACACAAGTAGACTACACTAAGATACATAATTCTGAATATCGGTTTTTGATTTCGATGAACGGTGTTGCCGTGGTTACTAAAAATAGAAATTTCTGTGAAATTCTTTCAAAATGCTACTCCTCCTACAGTTTTAGTCTGATTTCAATATAACTTGGCACAAAAGCAGACTACACTAAGATACATAATTCTTTGTATCGGTTTTTGATTTCGATGAACGGTGTTGCCGTGGTTACTAAAAATAGAAATTTCTGTGAAATTCTTTCAAAATGCTACTCCTACTACAGTTTTAGTCTGATTTCAATATAACTTGGCACAAAAGCAGACTACACTAAGATACATAATTCTGTGTATCGGTTTTTGATTTCGATGAACGGTGTTGCCGTGGTTACTAAAAATAGGAATTTCTGTGAAATTCTTTCAAAATGCTACTCCTCCTACAGTTTTAGTCTGATTTCAATATAACTTGGCACACAAGTAGACTACACTAAGATACACAATTCTGTGTATCGGTTTTTGATTTCGATGAACGGTGTTGCCGTGGTTACTAAAAATAGAAATTTCTGTGAAATTCTTTCAAAATGCTACTCCTCCTACAGTTTTAGTCTGATTTCAATATAACTTGGCACACAAGTAGACTACACTAAGATACACAATTCTGTGTATCGGTTTTTGATTAGAAATTTCTGTGAAATTCTTTCAAAATGCTACTCCAAATACTATTTTAGTTTGATTATAATATAAATGGTATGCAAGTAGACTGCACTAAGAACATAAAGAGACTTAATCAAGGATCATTATTCTATTTATTGCTGTTGAAAAGTTTCAATTTCCAACTGCTTAAGTACTTTTCTCTTCCTTTGCTATAAGTACAAACCAGTAGAGCTTCAGTCTCGACAGAGACTTCTGGTTATTTATTTATAACATCAATATATATATGTGTACCCATCACTGTGCTCTGAAAAAAAAGTTACATATTGTATTTTTAAAAGAGAAAAAAAAAATGTTTAGTACAGAGTTTGTCCATCAAAATAAAATGTAACAGCTGTTAATACTATGTATAGTAATTTTATCTGTTTTAAACTGGATAATATGATTAGATGAAATTTGTCATTTCAGTGACATATAATATAAACTAAATACAGTGTGATTTCATTAAATAATGTATAGGTAATGTAAAATAAGAGAAGGTTGTTGATATTGTTTGTAATTAAGTTATGATAAAATACATGAAATTCATTACGACTTGCACTGTTGTTAAAAAATCTGCAGATAAGTCAATAGTTGCAATTTTTGAAGCCAGTGGGAAAATTTCAATAACCTGTCCAGTCAAAACGTAAAATGGCACCTTGTAATGAAGATTCTTATTCCTCAAAACAATAGGACAGTTGCATACCCTGCGTAATGGACATACAGTTGTATACATAATATATTCTCCACCCAGTCTGATTAAATTCAGCCCCTTTAATTCTCCTTTTACCCTCACCGACCAGTGACCTCGGAGTGAAAGAAGGTGGCTGACTGTTCTCCACCTGACTCAATAGTGCATTCAATTTCAAGAGCAAGCCTAGATGAAGAAAAATCCCCTGACATGCAAAAAAGAATTTTAAAAAAGCTACCAGAGAAAATAATCGAGGGAGAACTGTACATGTAAATTAACATTGATTTTCTATCGTAAAGATTAAACATAGGTAATCAGAGATTACAGAGCTCACCTCAACGAATGTTGTCTTTAAGTAAGGCAAAGTCACACAATTGTACATCCAAAAATGCAAAATTTATGCAATTTTGATTTGATACTTTGGAATAGACCTATATAAAAACTTCAAACTAGATCTTCATCATGAAAACGTAATTACGTGTAAAATCCAGCATTTGAAGCAAGTTTGAGAGTTTTCATCCCTTGATGCATCATTTGTGCAAGTTTGGTTTATATAAGCCTGATAGTTTCTTGGTAATTGACTTGCACCCATAATTTTTATGAGGTCCATTATCTGGAAAATGTATGTCGAATTCATCATCTGAAGCAAGTCCATTAGTGTGCATCCTAAGATGTATCATCCATGCAAGTTTGCTCGACATAGAGCTCAAAGTTACTTGGAAATGAAACCTGTATAAAAAACTAACCTTTTCACTAATCCAGAAAATGTAGATCAGATTCAGCATCCAAAGCCAGCCTAGTAGAATGCACCCTTAGATGTACCATCCATGCAAGTTTGCTCAACATAGAGCTCAAAATTACTTGGAAATGAATCCTGCACCAAAAACTTTAACCTGTGCACTCGTCCAGAAAATGTAGGTCAGATTCAGCATCCGAAGCAAGTCTGGTAGTATGCATCCTAAGATATATCATCCATGCAAATTTAGTCATTATAGGGATCATAGTACCTTGGAAATGAAACCTGCACCAAAAACTTTAACCTGTTCACTCTTGCGGAAAATGTGATGATTTGAACATATTTTATTGCTTATACTTTACAATTGGGATTGGGCAAAAGTTCTAAAAACTTATTACGCCCTCTCCCTACATATGCATTATATCAAATATATTTACATACATGGGTTTCAGCTTAAAATGAAATAACAATAGTAATAATATAATAGTAATATATAATAATCAGAGTAAAACACATTCAATAGAATACATTTCATATGTAATAGACATGCTGTATAAGATTTACAATTAGAAATAATTATTGTATCAACCAAATCGTCCTGACTTTTTAATAAAAGTTTGTACAATAGAAAATAAGTATTCATTTTCAAAATCATTTAACGATTTGTCTCCCCAGAGTAAAGTGTGAGTATCGACAGTGTGTAATTTACCTATTCGCAAAAATTTGTCAAAAAATTCTTTCCTGGCTTCTGTATATTTTTTGCATGAGAAGAAATAATGATGAGTATCCTCCACTCTTCCACAAGAACATAGTGGACTCAAAATTACATTACATCGAAAAAGATCGCTATTAAGCACACAGTTATGTCTAAGCCTCGTGTGTATTATATTTAAGCGTCGAGTTCCATAACTGAAGTAAGAGGGTGACATTTGTTTATTGTAAGAAATAGACTTTTTAAAAATAGATAGCGAGGGAGAATTTCTTACATTAAGAGGTAATGAGTTCCATTCTTCAATAACAAGGGGAACGAAAGTTGATTTGTAAGCTTGCAATCTGCATTTGGGTATGTTATAGTTCTGCGAGTTTCTAGTACTGTAACTTGATGAATTACATCGTAAGTTTGGGATTATATCAGTTAGATATTCAGGAACTTGGTTTTTATCAATTTTATACATTGTAGTTAGTCTAGTCTTTTTCCTTCTTTCTTGTAATGGTTCCCATCCAGTTTCAATGTAAAGTGCATCTTTAGAAGCTAACAGAGTTAATCCTGTGACAATTCTAG